CCAATTACCTTCCAGAGTAAGAATCTGCTGCAGTCACAGTGCCCAGAGCGGCCGGCTCCTTCCTCTGGAAGCTCACCTCCTGGGCACTGCCATGTGGGGCGGATTTGTGTGTAAGTTACTCTTCAATAGAGTCACTTTGAAAATCTTGCTGCTCGCTCCTCGTTCCTCGCACAGCTCTCCTGCTTCTTTCTCTAAACGAGCTGCTCAGGCCCTCGCCGGCTTGGCTCAGCGGGAAGTGTCAGCCCGCACACTGAAGGGTTCCGGGTTCAGTGTCGGTCAAGGGCATGTCCCTCAGGCTCGATCCCTGGCCCTGGTCAGGGTATGTGTGGGAGCCAACCACTGGATGTCTCTCTCTCTCTCTCAGTGTTTCTGTGTCTCTTCCCCCTTCCTTTCACTCTCTCTAAAAAACTAATGGGAAAATATCCTCAGGTGAGGACTAATAGCAACAAAAACGTGGGCAGACTTCGTGGACACGTCATGGGGATGACAGGGGTGGTAGTGTGCCCGTGGAAAGGTGCTCAGTCCCCCATGCAGGAGGAAAGGCACACGCACACACGGGCTGGGTTCTGTGTTAGAGGAGTGACAGTGCGTGTGGATGAGGATGTGGAGCAGCTGGAACCCTGGCACGCTGTGGCCGGAGTACAGAATGGTGGTCAGGGTAGAGAAATTTGTTGGCAAAGTTTTTTTAAAATCACCTGAGCACATGCTTCTATTGATTTTTTTTTTGAGAAAGAAAGGGAGGAGGCGAAAGAAACATCAATGTGAGAGTGAAACATCGATTGGCTGTCTCCCACACACACTCCAATTGGGGATCGAACCACAATCTGGGCACGTGTCCCGAGTGAGTCAACCCACCTTGGTGCAGGAAGAACTGGCCGGGAATGTCGATTTTTTTATAAAGTTAAAAACTCAGTGATAACAGCAATTCCAAGGCACTCACCCAAGAGGAACAAAGAGGCATTTACGAATACTTGTACATAAATGTTCAACAGTTTTATTCTCAACAGTCCAAGCTGGAAACTCAAATTTCTAACAACAGAGGAAGAATAAAGGATGGTTTATACAATCGAACATGACTCAGCGAAGAGAAGAGCTACTGAGTCTTTAAAGCATGCCAAAACGGAAAGGATTAGACACAGGAGTACATACCGTATGCACCCATTCCTGTTGAGTCCTAGAACAAGCAAACGTACCGACGCCGACAGTCTGGAGCTGGGGTGGGACCAACGGAGAGCCGAAGGGAGCCCTTTGGGCGATGGGAAGGTTACTTCCCGATTACGGTGGTGGGGACTTGGAGCACGTTAAGACGCTGTACACTTGAAATAGGTGTTCGTACTGAGTGGAAACCGGACCGGAAGGAAGGCGATTGAAATGGGCTGCTGATACCTGAGTCTGCAACGCACGTCAGGTGTGAGCTCCTTTAAAACCGCTCATTCCCTAAGCTTCCAGGATTGCTGCTACTGGTTAACTCAAAATGACTCCGTGGGCAAAGCAGCAATTTCACAAGTGGGGGTTTTGGTTAATGTTTAGATCAAGGAAATCCAGAGGCCTCACTGGCCAGGTATCCGCTGTGTGGTAAACCCCCTGCTTCTGAACAGCTCCATGCCACTCCCCACTTCTGCTCGATTCCCTTCGTTCCATCTCCTCCAGCTGACAAGGGCTCATCTCTGTGGACCAGTTCAGAGGCGATGCCAGCCTCCGCCTTGCTTACGCTCCCACACGGCCAGGAACACGTGTTTCCATGCGTCGCTCACTGTGCGGGACCTGGCCTCCCTACAGACGTGGAATGACCTCAGGTTCTATGCGCCTTCCCAGGACTGACCGCTGATCGTTACAGGTTGAAACACTTTCAAGTAATTGACAGGAGCCAGTGAGTAGAAAAGGGAGAGGAGAGGTGAGTTCAGAGGCAGAGTGATGTCTGTGCTGGGCCCCTCCCCGGGGTGAACCAGAGAGACGCAGGCACGGAGTGAGACCGTGCTCCCCGAATCCCCGAAGCCAGCGCGTGGCCCTGGCCGAGCTCTGACAGCGGCAGCGCGAGGGGACGGGCTTCCACTGGCCACGCCTGTGACTTGCGGCTTGAGGACGAGCAGAAGACACTGACTAGCTAAGACGCATTCCCGCCGCCCAGCGCTGAGCTTCACAAAGCAAGGACAAAACCCAGTGTTTTCAAACAGCAGCAAGAAGCAACAGCGCTGGAGCGGCCCGTACGCAGCTGGGGGCGGGCTTTCTGACTGTCCTGGCTGGACACCAGGGACATAGAAACCAGTCGGATGTGACCTGTCCACAAAGAATCGGCAGTGCAACGAGACACACAAACACGATTCTCACGTATCGGAGTAAACGCAGTAACGCGCGGAGGGACGGCAGCCGCCCCGCGGGGAAGGGGCCCAGCCGGACGTGATGCTGCTGGCCTCTGTGTCTTGAGGAGCCGGGGCAGGAGAGGGAGAGCGCAGGGAGAGCTCGGACACGCGGAGTGTCGTCAGTGCTGCCTCGGCGCCGAGTGAGGTGGTGGGAGATGAGGCTCCAGGAAGCAGAAGACCTTAGGATGCAGGGAGGGAGCTGGGAAGGGCCCAAGGACCACAGGGAAGCCCGGCAGTTCTCCGTGCCTCTTCTGACAGATCTAAATCGCTCCATCGCTCTGTTTAGTGAGCATAGTTCTCCTCCAAGGGGCCTTAACCGGGGGAACTGCGATTGTGCAGGGACATCTAGAGACCAAGCTCTGGCCCCAAACCCCTGTGCCGGCTCAGCCAGCTGTCTCCAGGCAGCTCCCCCGGGGACACAGGTTCCTGGCCGGCCAGTCGGCACGGCTGCACAGCAGGCGTGGCCCTGCTGACTCTGGGAAACGCTGATGTGTCCAGAGGCACCTGAGCCCCAACACTCATGCCACCCACGGCCAACATCACGGACGTGGAGCAGAATTACAGGTCTGTAGGATCGCCCTGACTTACAGGTTTCTCACCCAAATGTGCGGGGGCCTTACTCAGGGGAAGCCCCTCCTGAGTAACACCTTGATGATTTTTAAAGTTTGGGCGATTGTGGAAATCTTTCCCATACTGACTACAGTCGTACAGTTTCTCTTCAGTGTGGATCTTCTGGTGCTGAAGGAAGTTGGACCTCTGAATGAACCCTTTCCCACAGTAACTGCACACGTAGGGCTTCTCTCCGGTGTGAATGATCTGGTGCAGCAGCAGCTTGGAGCTCTGGATGAAGGCTTTGCCGCAGTCCTTACACTCAAAGGGCCTGTCCCCCGTGTGGATCTTCTGATGTTCCGTGAGATGAGCTTTCTGCAGGAAGGCTTTGCCACACTCCTTGCATTCGTAGACCCTCTCCCCAGTGTGAATTTTCTGGTGTCGGATGAGGTATGAACTCAGGAAGAAAGCTTTCCCACACTCATTGCACTCGTAGAGCTTCTCTCCAGTGTGAATTCTCTGATGCTGCGTGAAGTTGGATGTCTGGCTGAAGCGCTTCCCACACTCGTTGCAGACGTAGGGCCTCTCCCCGGTGTGGATCCGCTGGTGCTGGATGAGCTTCGAGCTCCTGATGAAGGCTTTGCCACACTCGTTGCATTCAAAGGGCCTCTCTCCAGTGTGAATCCTCTGATGTTCGATGAGGTCCGAGCGGTGACGGAAGGCCTTCCCACACTCCTTACACTCATACTGCTTCACTTCGGTGTGGATCTGGTAGTGTCGAATGAGGCTGGAGCTCCTAATGAAGGACTTCCCGCACTCGTTGCACTCGTAGGGCCTTTCTCCCGTGTGGATCCTCTGGTGCCGGATGAGTAACGAGCTCTGACTAAAGCCTTTCCCACATTCCTTGCATTCAAAAGGCCTCTCCCGGGTATGGACGCGCTGGTGTCGAATCAGGTCTGAGCTGTGACAGAAGGCTTTCCCGCACTGAGTGCACTTGAATGGCTTTTCTCCTGTGTGCGCTCGCTGGTGCTCCATGAGCTCTGCGCAGTGAGCAAAGTCTTTCCCACAAGCATTGCACACGTAGAGTCCTTCTCCGGTGTGAACTCTCTGGTGCTCAACGAGGTGGGAGCTCTGGCTGAAGGCTTTCCCACACCGGTCACACCTGTAAGGCTTCTCCCCAGCATGGGAAACCTGGTGTCTAACGAGGTCCGAGATAAACGGGAAGCTTTGGCCACACGTCCCGCATGGGTGGGCTTCCCCTTCCATGAGTTCCGTCTGGAGGATGAGGAGGTCTGAGCGCAGGATGGGGCTGCCTCTGCACCCACCTCCCCCCTGGACTGCCTCTCCTGTTTGGATCTTCCAATGAGTAACCGTCACCTGCTCGACACCTCCCTCCCGAGATGGGGGGCTCTGCCCGTCCAGGTTCCCCAGCAGCCCTCCTGATCCTGGAGCAGAGACCTCCCCAGACTCGGGGGCAGGAGTCTCCGTCACTGTGAGTGTTTCTGACATGGCCCTTGGCGGATTTCCATTCCCAGAAATTCAGACTCCAGGGTCACCTTCTCACCAGTTCCTGCATCAGAACCTGAAATAAAACAGAGGTAAGATCATCATCTGCCTCATTCATAGACAGGAACCTGCGGGAGCGGGTGGGGGTGAAATACCCACAACTCAGGCACGTGCCCTTGACTGGAACCGATTTTGGACAGTCTGCCAGCCGACACTCTAGCCACTGAGCCAAACCGGCTAGGGATCCATTGATTTTTAGAGAGAGTGGGAGAAAGAGAAAGAGAGCAATGTCAATGTGAGAGAAGCACGTTGATTGGTTGCTTCCTGCATAAGCCCTGACTAGGGCCGGACCAGGTAGGAGCCTGCAACTGAGGTATGTGCCCTCGACCAGATTCAGGGCCCTCTGGTCCACAGGCCAACGCTCTATCCATTGAGCCAACCAGCCAGGGCAGCACTTGAGATTTTAGTAGGCACATGGCCACCCAGCCAGTGACTACATTTCCCAGAGTCACCAGAGGCTGGTGTGACCCTGTGACGAAGGTGCGGCCTGTCTCCCCCCGCCCCCAGGTGCCCCCCTACATGTGGACGGGGCCCAGCAGCCAGGCTCTGTCGCGCGAGGGGCGCAGCCAGCACCCGCCTGTGAGAAGGAACCGGAGAAATCAAGTTTCCTGTTGGGACACTCGTTCTGAATCCGTTACAGCAACGTGAGCCCAGCTGGCCCCGGAGGCAGCGCTCCCCGCGAGAGAGGGCTGAACCGAACCCGCTAACGGACCACGCTGCGCTGGGCACGCCACGCCAAGGTCTGGCGACACAGCTTCCTGCAGGCGGCCCCTCGGCGTGGCCGTGACGCAGCCCGGAGGCCACAGCCCGCGGAGAACGTTTCTCTCCTTAAAGACCCACTGACTTGGTGTAAAAACACCGGCCACCTGTTTCTAAGAATCACTTTAGCTTGTTACTTTTCAAGATAGGAAGGTAAACAATGCTGAGAGAAACTTAAAAACCCTCAGCAGCCCCACAGGTCAGTACTGTTACCCGTTAATACACACTCACCCAGACCCCTCCTTAGTCACCCACTCACCTACACGCCATCTTTAAAGATAAAGATGAGCCCTAGCTGCTGTGGACCTAGCTTCAGCCTGCGGACTGAAGGGTCCTGGGTTCATTTCCGGTCAAGGGCACATGCCCGGGTTGTGGGCTCAATCCCCAGTAGGGGGAGTGCAGGAGGCAGCTGATCAAGGATTCTCTCTCATCACTGTTGTTTCTTTTTGTCTCTCCCTTCCTCTCTGAGATCAATGAAAAGATTATTAAAAGTAAATAAATAAAGACGGGACCACACTATGCCCACCCACCTGGGACCTCCCCACCTGCACCCCGCATTCTTTGTTCCTCCGATGGATCCCGAGTCCCTGCGCCCACCAGGCACCGAGCAGCGTGGCCCTGCACCCCCGTGTCCTGAGGACAGGTGCTCCCTGAGGTGCAGAGGTCGCGACTGAAAGGCATGGGAGCACCTGTCGGCACCCAGCCCCTCCTCCTGGTGGGACAGCTCCTCTGTAGCAGCCTGCAGCACTGGGGGGGGCAGAGGGGGACCCCAAGGAGAGGCTGCAGCCAGCCGGTGAGTCTAACTGGCCCTCAGCCTGGGGAGCTCAGGGCCGCTCATCCCACCTGCGGCCGGCAGAACCGGGACGCTTTGCTCTTCGCCTGCCTCACGGGTTCAGAACTGGGGGGAAGAGGGGTGCCCCTGGAGCCTGAAGCAGGCATATTCCTTCGCCCGGACCCGCACACTCACCAACACCCCTCCCGACCTGAAGAGGAGCTGGGACTGTTTATTTGCAGACAAGGAAACGCAGGCCGGGCCAGGAAGGGGCAGAGTTAGGTCAGGCCCAGGTCTGCTGCCTCCGGTGCCGCTGCCAGGCGGAGGGCTGCTCCCTTTGCGGGTGACTGTGGCACCGACAGGGCTGCTTTACCGGCTGGATGGGTATTACTAAAGCAAGCTCACAGTGCAAGCCTGATCATTCCCCATAATTTAGGAAATAGGATCTACACGGAGGGGCCAGATTTTATGCGTTCAGAGATCATCATCTGGCCACTCGGTGTGTATGGATACCTGAAAACAGCTAGCACAGGTGCTGCATCGGTGCAGTTTTTTAACTTCAGAGGAAGTTTTCAAAGTCAGGTATACTGGGCTTTGAATAAACACTCAGCTAAACACCAGCAAGCTTTCCATTATGCTCAGCTCCCCTTCTATCAAGAAAAATAAAATTGGTGCTCGAATCCAGGACCCAGGTGGGTGGGCATAGAGTGGTCCTGTCTTTACTTATTTTAAAAATATCTTTTTATTGATTTCAGAGAGGAAGAGAGAAGGGGTGGGGAGGGGAGGGGGGAGAGAGAGAGAGAGAGAGAGAGAGGGAGAAAGAGAGGGAGAACCATCAATGATGAGAGAATCATTGATCAGCTGCCTCCTGCACGCCTCCCCACTGGGGATGGAACCCACAAACCAGGCATGTGCCCGGAATTGAACCCAGGACTCTTCAGTCCACAACACCCTTCTTTCATTTAAAGAAACCAGATGAGGGGGGAAAAAGAGAAGCTAAAGGAAGTGAACAAAGAAGTAAAAACACACCATCCTCTGCTGGGTAAAATACACAGGCATTGTACACGCACAGCCGGCGCTCAGGGCGTGGGCAGGCCTGGGAGCTGGAGAGGAAGGAGAGCTGAGCTGGGAGCTCGAACCTGAGCAGCCCGGAGCGGCTCGGTGGCAACGGGAGGGACTAGCAACCAAACCGTGCCTCTCACCCGGCACCGGTGAGGGGCCTCGGCTCCCAGGGCCCTCACGAGAGGGAGCAGGAGGTGCGCTTCGGCTGGAGAATAAGGAGTACGAGCAGCAGCCGCTGAGAGAGTGGGCTGGAGCCGCTCGGACCCCGTGCCCCTGTGCGCCCCCATCAGCCTGTGCTCCTGCCGCTGCGTGAGGAGGGACCTGTGCGCTGCTGAGTGCTTCCCTGGTTTTCTTTCTTTCTTTTTTAAATTGACTTATTACAGAGAGGAAGGGAGAGGGATAGAGTTAGAAACATCGATGGGAGAGAAACATCCATCAGCTGCCTCCCCCACACCTCTCACTGGGGATGTGCCTGCAACCAAGGCACATGCCCTTGACTAGAATCAAACCTGGACCCGAGTCCACAGGCCAACACTCTATCCACTGAGCCACACCGGTTAGGGCTTCCCTGGTTTTCTTACGTCCTTCTCACACCACCCTCCTCATCACCGCCCTCCTCACCACCCCCTCCCTTCCCCTCTCCTCCCCAACGCCATCCCGCTTCTGCCCCCAGGGCTCTGCCCAGGACGTCACCCTTCTAGCTCCCGTGTCCAGTGTCCTTGCACCTGTCACCGTCTAGGCCCAGGCAGCACCGCACAGCCGGACAGCTCCCAGCTCCCTCCCGGCTTCCAGGGCGCCGCCCAGGGGTCAGCTGCTCCCCGGAAGGGGTGCCCTGGCACCGCCCGCCCGCGGGCTCAGGGCTGAGCTGATTCCGGTCAGGCACCTGCTGCCTGGGTGGCGGCTCCATCCCCCGTGGGGGGGCCGGAGGCGGCCGGTCAGGGATTCTCTCCCCAGGGATGTCTCTCTCCCTCCTCTCTGACATCAGTGGGAACGTGTACAACGTTACACTGTGATCGGGGCCCCGGCCCCGGCCCCGCGGGAGGAGCGGGGTGTGTGGAAGCTTGGGGAGCCCGGCACCCGCCGCTGCTGTCACTCACCCCCCTGGGCCTGGGGGGCTGCGGAAAGAGGGGTGCTGGGAGCTAGGGCACCTCAGGCCCCGAGGACGCCGCGACCGTGACGTGGCGTGTGGGCCGGACATCAGACGGGGGAGCCTTCAGAGACCCCCTCCCGCACCCGGGCCGGGCCTCCTGCTCACAGGGCCTCGGGGCCCCCGCGGTGCAGCGTCCCCGACAGCTCCTCGGGCGGGGCGGCCGCGGTCCCCACCGGCCCCCACCGGCCCGGCCGCCGCAGGGAGGAGCGGGGCGCCCCCGGGAGACCGGCTCCCCGAGGCCCCGGCTCCGGACCCCGTGCGGGGCCGGCCACGCTCCGCCCGCCGCCCGCCCCGCCCGATCCGCCCGCCCCGCCTCTCCCGCGGCCGAGCGGCCACTCACCGGCGCCCCGCGGCGAGGAGACCGCGCCCCGCGGCGAGCCCGGCGCCCGCCCGCAGGCCGGCGACAAAGCCCGCAGGCGTCCGCACTCCGGGGCCGGAAGTCCGGCCAGGCCCCGCCCCTGGACTTCCGGGTCGGCTCTAGGCGGCCTCTCGGTGGTCGGGCCTTCCGGCAGGGCGAGGCGGGCGGAGAGGGAGGGAGGGCGGGGAGGGGGAGAGGAGAGGGGTCGGGGCTGCCCCGCAGCGTGGCGGGGTCTAGTCTCCCGTGAGCTGTCCACGGAGACGCTGACCCCGGAGGCCCCTTCCTCCAGCCGCTCCGGCCCGTGCGGGCTCCGGAGGAGCGGGGCTGCCACAACCGGTGTGGTTCAGTGGATAGAGCGTCGCCTGCGGACTGAAGGGTCCTGGGTTCGATTCCGGTCAAGGGCAGGTACCTTGGTTGCGGGCACATCCCCAGTAGGGCAGTGTTTTTCAACCTTTTTTGGGCAAAGGCACACTTGTTTCATGAAAAAGATCACGAGGCACACCACCATTAGAAAATGTTAAAAAATTTAACTCTGTGCCTATATTGACTATATATAAAGTAATTCTCTTGAATAGGAATCAAATAAACACAAAGAAAGTATTTTATAATTACTTTATTATGAAATATTAAGTAAACAAAATAGTGAAAAATTATAAAATTCTTGTCTTGTCTGCACCTACGGCACACCAGGCAACATCTCGTGTGCCGCGGAACAGCGGTTGAAAAACGCTGCAGTAGGGGATGAGCAAGAGGCCCCTGATCGATGATTCTCATCGATGTTTCTCTCTATCCCTCTCTCTTCCTCTCTGTAAAAAAAATCAATAAAACATATTAATCAAACAAACAATAAAACAACAGGGCAAAGTCAATTATTTACCAGCTTAAGAAGAAGGGTTGTGTGCTGATAGGAAAAAAACGCGGAGGTAAGAGAAGTAGTAAGTGAAATGCCTCGATATTAAACAAAACTGAGCAAACAATTGAAGAAGATCTGCGCGTAATTTTAAAAGGAATTCGTGACAAGTTTTCAAATGTAAACAACTTTGCCTTAAGCCAGCATCCCGTTGAGCCAGGGCGGGTGAAGGCAGCTAGGCCTGGGCGCCTGCCCGCGACGGGGCGGGGCCTAAAGGTGGTATGGGCGAGGCCTAGAGGTGTTGTGGGGCGGGGCCTAAAGATGGTGTGGCGGGGGGCTTAGAGGTGGTGTGGGCGGGGCTTGAGCGAGCGCGGGAGGCGGGGTCGAAGGTCTGCGCAGGGGCGGCCTGGAAACGTGCACGTCGGGGAGCGGAGCCTTGAGGTGGGGGGGCTCAGACTGAGCGCATGAGCGGGGGAAGGCGGAGTCCAGGGACCGAGTAGAGGGGCGGGGCCTGGGGGCAGCCCCATGTCGAGACAGGAAAAGGGGCGGGGCCTGAGCCAGGATGGGGCGGGCCTGTGGGAGGAAGAGGAGGAGCCGGTAGAGAACCCGCCCACCGCGCGTGGAATGGGTCAGCTTGGCTGGCATTTCTTTATTTTTCTTCTTTATTGATTTAGGTATCACATCTGTGTCTTTATCCCACCATTATCCTCCCCCCCACCCATTGGCTGGAGTTTCTCGGGCGAACTCGGGCATTGGGGTCGCAGCCCCCAGACCAAGGCGGGACCACCGTGGGCTCCCGCTGGACCCGGTCGGTAGCCGGGTCGGCCGTGGTGGGCTCCACACCCGTCGCGGACCCTGCCCCGCAGTCCGGCCGGCTCTGCGGCAACACCAGGGCTAGTCCCAGCCGGCGCGCCTCGGCTTCTCCGCTAGTAACTGCCGCTCCTCCCAATTGGGGCTGGAGCCTCTCCTCTCGTGCTTCCCACCCTCCCCAGTGGGGTCTCGCCCTGCGCCCCGGCCGGTTGTGGCCCGAGCAACCTGAGGCCACGGCGCCGGGATCAGACCCGCCCGCGGATGCAGACCCTGCGAGAACTACATTTCCCAGGATGCCGCGCGGCCCGGGAGTCCACTTCTCGGCAGCGCTGCGCGCGCGCGGCAGGACTCCATGTCCCCGCATGCCACGGGGCACCCGGGCCCGCCCCCCACCTGGCTCCGGCGCGCGGCTGCACACGGCCAGCGCCGGAAGTGGCCACCGGCAGCCGGGCAGGTGGGGTGGAGTGGGTGCAGGTGAGACCCCTAGAACATCGAGGGGGCGGGGGAGACGTCGCGAGCCGGGCCTGGGCCCTGGGCGCTCCCTGACTGCTGGGAGCCTGAGGGGTGCTGGGGCCCGGGGGCGTGGATGGGTATCCCGGGCGGAGCGGGTCCTGGGGACGGGGGAGGGGGCCTGGCTGCCGGCACTGTGGAAGGGGCCCGGGGAGGGCTGGGGGCGTGGGAGGGAACCCGCGGGCTCTAGGTGGCTCTGGCCTAAGGAGGGGTCCGAGGGAGCGGTGGGGGGCTGGACGCCCGGGGTCTCCCCACAGGCCTGCTGCTGGGCTGCCTGTGCGGGCGGAGCAGCGGGTGTCTGGGCGGGGCCCTCCTGTCGGGGCTGGACAGGGGGCCCTGCCGCGGGGTCAGGCCTTCCGGTAGGGTCTCGAGCCGATTTCCAGGCCCCAAGATAGGGTACTCGAGGGCTGTGGTGCGCCGAGGCTTGGGACAGGTGGAACGTGGGTCAGGCGGTCTTGGCTGGGAGGGGAGGAGGGATGACTCGAGCGGGGGGTGGGGTGGCAGGGCAGCATCCTGAGCCAGCCCTTGGACGGTGGGGGCCCAGTGCCAAGGCAGGGCCCCTGAAAGAGCACCCCGGGCGCCTAGGGTTCTGTTGGAGAGAAACACCATGGCCTCACCCTCACACCCCCTTTGGCTGTCAGGTGCAGCCGCCATGGGTGAGCCCCAGGGGTCCATGCGGATCCTGGTGACAGGGGGCTCCGGGCTGGTGGGCAGAGCCATCCAGAAGGTGGTAGTCGACGGGGCCAGGTTGCCAGGAGAGGACTGGGTGTTCGTCTCCTCCAAGGACGCCGATCTCACGTGAGTGAGCCCATCCCTGGAGTACTCCTCCCCCCTGGCCCTCCCCCGACAGAGCTCTGGGCCTGGCGGCCTCTGGTCCGCACCCTCCCCGCCAGGTGGCTGGCGTGGCCTGGGTGTGACAGCGCTGCTCCGGGGCAAACATCCTCCTACACCCTCCCAGCAGCGGGCCCTGACCTGGCACCTCGCCTCGATGGGCCCTGCCCAGCCCGTCTGCAGTTCCGCAGACCCGCGGCTAGTCCCCTCGGCCTTCCGGACGCTGACCGCCCGCTGTCCCCAGGGACGCTGAGCAGACCCGAGCCCTGTTCGAGAAGGTCCGGCCCACGCACGTCATCCATCTTGCTGCCATGGTGGGGGGCCTGTTCCGGAATATTAAATACAACCTGGACTTCTGGGTGAGCATGGGAGCCGGCAGCCGGCTTCTGGGAACTCCCTGGCTGGCTTCCCACACTCAGTGCTAGGAAGGCCCCTGGGCACAGCTGTGGGCGGAGGAGCAGGCAGGTGGGTCTGGGGGGCACTTGGCCTAACAGGACGAGCCGGGGAGCTGCCCTGTAGGCGGGGGGAGCTGAGGACACACAACTGGTTCCTGCCCCTGGAGCTTCCAGATGCTCCTGCTCCCGGACCGCTGTCCCAGCGGCTCGGAGCCTGGTGCGCCAGGCGCGGCTGTGTGACCTGGGCCCCGGTCTGTGGCATGTGCTCTCGGGGGCACGGGGCCCGCTGTAGGGGACAGGAGGAGAATGGCCTCACATTCAGCCCTGCACCCGGCACTGGGACGGCAGAAGCTCGGACCAGCTTCTGCCCGGGGCCCGTCGGCCAGGGCCCTCCTTCCAGTCACCACCTTCTCTGCAGCCTAGCCACCCTCTCCCTTCTCCCCAGGCCAGTCCACATGTCCAAATCCAGGGGGCAGGTGGGGCCCCAGGAGGGTGGGGACGGGGCAGGATCGTGGGGTGAGTGCCGCTGGGACGGGTAAGCTGGGCCTCTGAGCTCCTTCGGCCCCTGCCTGGGCAGCCCCGTAGCTGGGGCCCTGTCCTGAGCTGAGGGGTGGGGTCCCTCCTCCAGGCCCCGGGAAGGGAAGGCAGGCCCAGCCCCCCTACAGCCCTGAGAGTGGGACCGCCAGCTCAGGATGTCACAGACGGAAGGGCAGGGCGGCTAGGACCAGAGGGCCCAGGCACTGCGCCTGTTGGAGGCGCCAGAGTGTGTCCCCACTTCTGTCCCTGGGGGAGCAGGTCGGGCTTGGGGTCCTGCCTGGAGGGGCCTGAGCCTGCCCTCCACCCCCAGAGGAAGAACGTGCACATCAATGACAACGTCCTGCACTCGGCCTTCGAGGTGGGAGCACGCAAGGTGGTCTCCTGCCTGTCCACCTGCATCTTCCCCGACAAGACCACCTACCCTATCGACGAGACCATGGTGAGACGCGGACCGGCCAGGGTGGGGCCGGGCGGGGGTAGAGTAGGGCCTGGAAGCAGCAGTCTCTCCCCCCCCCTCCCCAGATCCACAACGGGCCACCGCACAGCAGCAATTTTGGCTACTCTTATGCCAAGCGGATGATCGACGTGCAGAACAGGTCCTCCTGGCACCGCCCAGCTGGGCCCGCCAGGAATGGCGGAGGGCCCGCGGGTGGGGAGCCCAGTGGGTGGCCTGTGGGGCTCCCAGGCCTCCTCTGCTGGTTATTCCATCTCTGGGGGGCCCGGGCGGGGTGGAGGGGCAGAGCGAGCGGTGGAGAGCGAGGGCCGGAGGGCATGCCACGCTCTGCAGGGCCTACTTCCAGCAGCACGGCTGCACCTTCACCGCCGTCATCCCCACCAACGTCTTCGGGCCCCACGACAACTTCAACATCGAGGACGGCCACGTGCTGCCCGGCCTGATCCACAAGGTGCACCTGGCCAAGAGTGAGTGCCGCCCTCCCCACGCGCCCCTGGGGCTCAGCGGGGGAGGTGTGTGGTGACTGGCCCGGCTCTGACACGCCCCTCCCCGCATGTGCAGGCAGGGGCTCGGCGCTGACCGTGTGGGGCACTGGGAAGCCCCGGAGGCAGTTCATCTACTCACTGGTTGGTGCTGGAGGGCGCCCCGCTGTCCCCAGAGCACGGCCCCGGCCAGCCTCGCCGGCTGCGGGGTGGGGGAGTGGGTGCGGGGGAGCCTGGGGAGGGGAGGGCCTGGCTGACACCCCGAGGACAGCCACTGGTCCTCGAGGGGCCCCATGGGGTTTGCTGGGTGCAGCTCTGAGCTCGGCGGGAGGGAGGACTGGATCCGCTGCGGGTGAGCTGGCCAAGGACTGCCCAGAGGGAGGGGTGCGGGCTCACAGGGCTGCGTGGAGGAGGTGACTGGGCCCATGTGGCCGTGACGTGTGGCTTTGCCTGCCTGGCTGACCAGGACCTGGCCCGGCTCTTCCTCTGGGTGCTGCGGGAGTACAGTGAGGTGGAGCCCATCATCCTGTCAGGTGGGCACCGCCGTGGCAGCTCAGGCGGGGGCGGGCGGGGCGGGGGCCGGGCCGCGGAGGCTGACCGGGCCCACCCTCCCTGCAGTGGGCGAGGAGGACGAAGTCTCCATCCAGGAGGCCGCCGAGGCCGTGGCGGAGGCCATGGACTTCCACGGGGAGGTCACCGTATCCTCGGCTCCGTGCCCCCTCTCGGGGCGGGGTGGGGGGTCTGACACTCAGACGGGGCTCACCCTGGGAGCTGGAGGACAGAGCCTCCGGGAGCGGCGGGGAGGTTCAGGGCAGGCGGGGCCGGGCTGCCCCTCCGCTGTGGCCTTGACCAGGCTCCCAGTTTGATACAACCAAGTCGGACGGGCAGTTTAAGAAGACGGCCAGTAACGGCAAGCTGCGGGCATACCTGCCCGACTTCCGGTTCACGCCCTTCAAGCAGGGTGAGCCCCCGCCCCTCATGGCCCTCCGCCCTCGTCCCTCAAGACCTCCGGGCCTCGGCTTCCTGCCCCTGGGCGGCCACTGCCCTGCCCTAGGCCTCGGCTTCCTGCTCGAGCCGGGGGTGGACACCTGGCAGGGTTGGTCTTCAGACCCTCGTTGGGCAGCAGGAAACGGGATGACTGGGGACCCCAGGAACCCTGCCTCCCTTGGAGGTCGGTGCCGCCCTGCCCTCACCCGCCGCCCCCGCCTGCCCCGCAGCTGTGAAGGAGACCTGTGCCTGGTTCAGTGCCAACTACGAGCAGGCGCGGAAGTGAGGCAGCCGTGGGCCGGCGCCACTGCCCCCAGACCCTGCGGCCACTCCGCTGGCAGAGCCCAGTGGCAACCCCTCAGGCCCTGCAGGAGCCCAGGCACTGCCCGCCTTCCACCCCTCCGCAGGGAAGCTCCAAGCAGCTGTCCAGTGGGCCACCGTTCCCGCGTTCCTCAGGGAGACTGAGGCCTGGCTGGGCCCCGCACCCCTGCTGCTCAGGCCCAGAGCCCAGGTCCTGTGTGTCCACTTCTGATCTCGCCCTCCTGGGAGCCAATAAAGTGCATTTCACTCTGTGCCCGCTGTCCACAACCCCAGCACTGCCTGTCCGAGCCCGGAGCCCGGCCAGCCCCGGGACCCCCCGAGGTGTGGGCCATGGCAGCCACCTGCGCCCACCTCTCCCCAGGCCCGCTGACTTCCTGCTGTCCTTGTCGCTGCCCAGGCACTGACCCCACGGGCCTCCCCTCCAAAGTCAGTGCCTCCCCGTGGGCTCAGCGGTGGCAGTCCTTCCCTCACGCGCCCCCTGCTGTTTGCTTGTCTGGAAACGCTGGGAGCTGCAGGACCCTCCCGTGTAACCTGGGCACCGGGCTTTAGGGAAGGAAGGAAGGCTCTCTCCGTGTGGGGGTTGGGGGTCAGGGGACGCGCCTGGGACCCGCTCGGTGACAACAGTGGGAAGGAGGCCAGCACCCAGCGGAGGCCTGGACATGCCTGACGGAAACAGGCAGTCGTGCCCTGAGCGCCCTGCTTGTGTGTGTACGGAGGAGCGGGCTCCCGGCCCATGCACACAGAACGGTCCTCACCAGGGTCAGCCGCGTCCCGGCCGGAGCGGGCCACACTGCAGGGCAGTCTGTGAGTCAGGCTGGGGAACAGCAAAATCCACACCAACCGCGATGGCGCAGCTTCAGCCCTACTTTCCCGTTAACGGGACACGCACTGCCAGGCCCGGCCCTGCTCCGGGTCGGTCTCCACGACGGGCCCTGGCTCTCCTGCCTCCCCGCTGCGCAGAGGCTCCGGGCTCCGCAGCGTCCCCAGGAGGGACACCACCGGGCACGGACCTGCGGGACAGGTCGGGGGAGACCCTTCCCCTTTGAACGGGGCTTCTCCAGCCGCCCTTAGGGCGCAGGGCCTGGTCTGCGCACACCCGCCCGGCTGGGCCCCGGCCGCCGCCGCTCTCCTGCCGGACCCGGGCTCCCGCCGGCCACGCTCCACGCGCGACGACTCCGGGGCCCAGCCGGCGTCCCGCCCCCGCCACGCCCACCGGCTGTCTGACGCCAAGCTCCGGCCAATGAGAGGGGAGGGCGGGGCGCTCCGCGAGCTGTAGCACGCAGAGACCGACGGGAGGGGGCGGGGCGTGCGGTCCAGAGAGCCAATGACGACGGCGCGGCGTAGCCATTGGCGGGATGGGGGCAGGGGGCGGGGCCTGGGGCGCCGGGTCAGTGTGATGGCGGCGGTAGCGGCTGCGAAACCGGCCTCTCGGCGCGTGGGCTTCGTGGGCGCGGGCCGCATGGCGGAGGCCATCGCGCAGGGCCTCATCCGAGCAGGTGGGAGGCCGCGGGCGCGCGGGGACGCCCGACGCCGGGCTGGTGGGAGAGGGCCGGGCCTGCCTGGCCGAGCTCACTGCCCACGGGATGGGTCCCGCCCGACCTCCGGGCGGAGCCTGGCAGCCCGGGGCCTGCACGCTGGGGTCCCGGGGCGGAGCGGGGCGGGCGGACCTGCCCTCGGACCTCGCCTCCCCGCTGAGAACAGCCGGAGTCGCTGCCCCCACAGCACCCACCAGCCGTGGCCGTGGAGCCCGGAGTGCGGCTGGGCCGGACGGAAAAGTGCGGAGGGTAGCGAGTACAGTGTCCTGCGGGTGTGGAGGTTTGGCCCAGACAAAGGAAAAGGGATGTCTTAGTGAGTTATGTTAAGGGCACTCTTGGGCGTTAGGTAAGAGACAGCACCCTGACCTCACCTGAGCGGCCTCCTGGCCTCACGTGACAACGAGGCCATGCAGGTCCACGTGGAGCCAGTGTCCTCTCCTGGGGCAGCGCTGCTCAGAGTCTGGGCTGCCCCGCCAGCGCCCTGGCCTCTGAGCCCCGATCCTTTTTCCTGTTTGTGCGCCAGCTTCCCTCCCCCACCCTACAGGACCTCTGCCTCTGCACCAAGGACGGGGGGGGGGGGGGGGGGGGGGGGGGGGGCTGGGGCGTCATCTCCTGCGGAGAAACTGGTCCCCAGCAGTCTCCCCGCCTCCCAGTCACTACAGCCTTCTCCTGGGGAGAAGGGCTGGCGCCCTGCCTGTAGCCATAGCCACACTGAGGCCAGGGGTCCAAACCGGCACACAGCAGTGCACTGCGAGTCCCAGGTGTTGTGCCTGTAAGACCACCCGTGTCACTGCCCTCCGGGGCGCTCTGCATTCCGTGCGTGCGCTGTGGCCCAGGTGTGGGGTGCGCATGACGGACACCGGCTCCCGGGGCCGCGCTCCACAAACGTGTTTTCCATCAGGCAAACAGCCTCTGCGTGCACCCTCTCCCAGGGCAGCCAACCCCCCTGGGCCTCCCTACCTTCCTGTCCCCCTGGGGTCTGTGTCCTCACAGGAGGAGGCCAGCAGGGCCTCTGGACTCGGAGCAGGAGTGCGGGTCTGCAGTGCACCCGCTTGCCCCGTCCTGGCTGCACCGAGCGCCTCTGCTGAGCACGTGGGTGCGGGGAGTGTCTCAGGCAGCCCAGGGCCATCTCCTCCCCGCCTTCTCCCCCCCTCCCCCGACCCCCTCAGTAACACCAGCCCTTCGCCTTTCCCTCAGGGAAAGTGGAAGCCCAGCAGGTGCTGGCCAGTGCACCGACCGACCGGAACCTCTGTCGCTTCCGGGTGAGCCGGGCCCCGCTCTTCTGAGCTGAGGCTCCCTCCAGGGACCCGGGCTTGTGGCTCCTGCCCCTCTGAGCCCCTTCTTGGGGCCAGGGAAGCACGGCCGACGCAGCTCACGTGTGAGGCGGGCTGGGCTGGGCTGGGCTGGGCTGGGCTGGGCTGGGGAAGAGGAGGTCAGAGGCCAGAAGGAAAGTCAAGGTTGTGGAGGGCCATGGCAGAGTAAAGGGCAGGAGCGGGTGGTGTGGGTGAGACGGCATTGGGAGGGGGTGCAATGGGAGGGACCAGGAAGCCTGGGAATGCAGGGTGGCCTCCAGCTGGGAGGGCCGGGTCTCGGTAGGTGCCCACTTACGCGTCCTGGTCCCCGTGCGCCCGGTACAGGCTCTGGGCTGCCAGACCACCCACTCCAACCAGGAGGTGCTGCAGGGCTGCTCACTCGTCTTCTTCGCCACCAAGCCCCACGTCTTGCCCGCCGTCCTGGCAGAGGTGGCCCCAGTGGTCACCCCTGAGCACATCCTGGTGTCTGTGGCTGCCGGGGTCTCTCTGAGCTCCCTGGAGGAGGTGAGTGGCCCATGGGGAGGCGGGTGATGAGGCTCCAGCCTGAGCTCAGCATGGGGGCGGGGGGGGCGTTAGGGGGGGCAGTGGCAGCCAGCCTGCAGAATGGCCGGGCGGCTCAGGGCGGGTGAGGGTTCCCCTGGCGCCACACCAGGCAGGAGGAGGGAGCCTGGCTGTCGTGCGCCCGGCTCTCTGACCACAGCCTCTCTCCGGCCAGCTGCTTCCTCCGAACACGCGGGTGCTGCGGGTCTCCCCCAACCTGCCCTGCGTGGTCCAGGAGGGGGCCATGGTGCTGGCCCGGGGCCGCCACGCGCGGAGCGGCGAGGTCGAGCTCCTGCAGACGCTGCTGGAGGCCTGCGGGCAGTGCGAGGAGGTGCCTGAGGCCCAGGTGGACATCCACACAGGCCTCAGCGGCAGTGGTGTGGCCTTCGTGAGTGTTACCTGCCCCTCCCATACACACACACACACACACACACACACACACACACCCCCGCCACCCATCGGCCAAGGCCCTGTGGCCGCTCCTCCCTCGACGTGACGGCGTGCTCCCCACTGCCCCTGAGCTCGGCTCCCCCCACCCATCACTGCCCTCCGGGGCCTTTGGGCTGGGCCTCGGCGGACCTGGGCGCGGGCCTCGGCTCCGGGCCTGTCCCTGAAGTCCGAGCCCTGTCCCGCCGGTGCTGTGCCCGGAAGCACTGGCTTTGACCCCGCACCCCCACAGGCGTGCGTGTTCTCTGAGGCCCTGGCTGAAGGCGCCGTCAAGATGGGCATGCCCAGTGGCCTGGCTCACCGCATCGCCGCCCAGACCCTGATGGTGAGTGACCGGTCCTGGGACGAGGGAAAGGGGCTGGGGGCCTCCCGTAGCAGAGGGGCATGTGGCAAAGCTGCGCGGTGGAGGGAGGAAGCAGGGGCTCCCAGGCCCGTCATGCCCCCGCTCCTCTCCCCAGGGGACAGCCAGGATGCTGCTGCAGAAGGGGCAGCACCCAGCCCTGCTGCGGGCGGACGTGTGCACGCCGGGCGGCACCACCATCCATGGGCTGCACGCCCTGGAGCAGGGCGGGCTGCGGGCAGCCACCATGAGCGCCGTGGAGGCCGCCACCTGCCGGGCCAAGGAGCTCAGCAGGAAGTAGGGTCCCCAGAGTCCCCCACGCCCTCTCCCAGCCCCTCCCTCTATGGAGGACAGGTCCTCTCTGACCGAGGGAGCCTCGCGCTGTGCCTGCTTCCCACACGGGGACGTGAGGGGCAGGGCCGGAGGGATCCCTGAGCGCCCAGCCCCTGGCACAGGGTCTCCTGGTGATGGCCACCACCAGGGGCGTGGGCCCCGAGGCCTGAGCGCTGGTGGTGCTGGTCAGGGGCGGGGCCGAGCTGGGCCCCGGGCACGGGAGCAGCTTCGGGTGGGACTTAGGCATCTGCACGAGGCCTGCTCCCTCAGCGAAGCCCTGTTGGTGGGGGCCCCTTAGGGGGCAGCGTCAGGGTTGGAAGGATGGACCTTGGCCAGAGGGGACCACACAGGCTTCAGCTGGCAGGGCCCTCCCGAGACCCCGGGCTCCGGGCAAGGGGCAGGTGTCGCTGGCTCTGGTGAGCCCTCCGGTCACGTGCTGAGGATCCCTGGCCTGCCTGCAGGACCCGGCCCTCCCATGTCCCTGAGCAGACTGCCCGGCTGGGCACGGGCCAGGCGAGCTGTGGGCCTTTGGGGGGGTTGCAGCTGTGCCCCACGGCTCACTGAGGCCTCTGCAGGCCGAGGCCCAGAGGCGGGTGCTCCCCGGGCTCCCACCCGTTCCCACTGCACCCACCAGCAGGCTTCAGCCCCCTGAGCCTACCTGTCTGCCACCCGCCTCCGGGCAGCCCCAAGGGCGGTCCCCCCCCTCATTCCTGCCTGCCGTTGGTCTGACCTGAGTCCGTCTCAGAGGAGGGCTTTCTCTGCTGGAAGTGGGAATAAAGTCTGTCCTGCAGCTCGGCGTGGCCGGTACTTAGCGGAGGCAGAAAAGCCGAGACCCAGGGCCTGGCCGTGTGTGAGTGACTCGGTCACCCCCAGCATCCAGCCACGCGTGGCCTCTCCCGCCTGGAGGGCACATGGATTCAAAGGGGTGGGGGGGCGGCCCCGTCTCCCCTTGTCCCCCAGCTGCCGTGGCTTTTCCCAGGACCTGGTGCATTAACGGTTTCTCCTTTGATCCCTGTGGTCCCATTTTATCCCCTTCCACTTTCTCAGCATAGGAGGTGTTTCATTTTTATAAATATATTTATTGATTTCAGAGAGTAAGGGAGAGAGGTAGAAACATCAGTGCTGAGGATCATTCATTGGCTGCCTCCTGCATGCCCCCGGGACTCAAACCCTAACCTCCTGGTTCATAGGTCAACTCTCACCCACTGAGCCACAGTGGCCCAGGCCCAAGCACTCGGTCAGAGCTGCACAAATAAGACTAGAGCAGGGATGTGTGACGTTTATTATAAAACCCCCTGGGCTCACCTGAGAGGGTGAACTCCGCTTCAGCGAGGCCAGGGGTGAACCCCTCGAGCAGGCTGCCCACAGCACCCTCGGCTACGGCACCGGAGCCAGGCCTCACCCAGGCCGAGCTGCCCCGCCCTGCCCCCCCTGGGCTCTTCACCGGAGCCGACCTGCCCGTGGGCCCACGGGCTGGGTGCCCGGTGATGGGCTCCCGCTGGAGGCACTCCCTCCGTCCCACTTCACTCGGCGTCTCATCTGCTGCTGCCTCTGCAGGGCCTCTTCCCAAGCATGGCGCCCCCTAGGCAAGCAGTGCCCTCCCCTGCCACTGCCAAGCCCATGGAGGGGCTCACCTGACCCGGCTGCTGTGGGAGCAGTCGGTGCCGTCAGGACTGTGAACGGACGCAGGCTGATGGCTGTCCCAGCGCCTCCAGCTGCAGGGCCCCTTCAGGGAGCGTGCGATCCTCTAGGCGTTCCCAGCTTCAGGCCGTGTGCGAGGGACTGGAGCCGCTGCAACCCTGCCCCCGCCCTCACGCTCAGGTCATCACAAATCAGGGCAAGCTGGTGCCCAGGGTAAACAGCGAGGGGCAGGCTGTGGAGTGAGGTCACACCTGGGGTTCATTGCAGCGTTAGCTGCCAACCCGGGGGTCCCCACAGGCAGCCTCCGGCAGGTGCCCTGTGATGTCACACGGAGCTCAGCCCAGGGCAGACAGAAGCACAGGGCCAGGCGCCTGCAGCCTCCGTCCTAAGGCACGCCCCCCACGCCTCCGTTTTGGAGGGGACACCTTTACAGGCTCCATGAGGGCATCCCGTCCCCCAAAGCCACAGCTCTGCATGGCTTCAAGCTAGCTTCTCAGCCCCAGGCCAGTGTGGGCCAGCCTCGCTTCACCCAGGACCCCCAGACGGCCGAGCCTCCTCCTGGGGCGCAGCCCTGGCTCCCATGCAAGAAACCTGCCACGGCCTCGTGGGGCCAGCACCCCTGCACAGGCCCACGGAGGCTGGGAGCCTTGGGGCCTCAGGTGCACCCTTGCCTGCTGCCCATCTGGGCAGTCTGTCTCCCCACCCCCAGCGGGCTCCCGGCCCCAGATCCCTGTCAGCAGGAGCCACCCTCTAGGTGTGCGGGCTCCACAGCGGGCAGGGACTTGAGTGAAATCTGCTCGGGGGCGCCCTCTGGCGGCCTCCCCAGGGGCAGCCATTCCACAAACACCGGGTCTGCAGCCTCTGGTCACCAGGATGACAGCGCCACACCAGGACAGGCAGCACCACTGTGAAGGCAGCTCCCAGGAGGGACAGGGCAGCAGGCCCCACGAGAGCTGGGCTGGAATGCGGGAAGCTTTCCTTCCCTTTACACCGCCCCCCAGAAGCCCAGGTGCTGGCTGGGGCCCTGCCCAGCGGTGCCAGCTGCCAGCAAGGGGAGGCACCTGGGGGCAAGGCACTGCAGGGTGGTTCGGATGGCTGTCAGGAGCCTGTTCCAGCAGGTGGGTGGGTGGCCTTGGCCCTGGGCCTGGACAAAGTGGCTGTGGCTGCTGGGAGGGTCCAACGAGCTTGTCCGGTCATTGGTCAAGTCTCCAGGCCCAAAGCCAGCCGCATGCCAACCCCACGGAACAAGAGAGCTGCTCGGAGAATGCATGTTCTCGGGAAAGTTAGGAGTCCCAGTGAACAGACACTTCTGCTGCATCCACATTAGGAGGCCTGCGTGCTGGGCACTGTCTCCCAGACCCGGAGTGAGACTCGACCCAGGCTGGGGACTGACCCCCCCCCCCCCCCTCATCTGTAAAAATGGCCTTAGTGTGATAAAAATAAACCTAAGGGTCATGCCTCCCCACTGAGAAGCCACAGGAACCCACAGACCGAGGCTCAGGGTGGGCAGACGGGCCAGCCTGTGCCTTTGCAGGCATGGGGAGAGCAGGGGGGAGGGGGTGTGCTGCTGCTGGGGTCCTGGTGGCCGAGTGAGCGGTGCCGTGTGTGCAGGAGCCAGTGTGCATGGGAGGGCTCCTGGCACCGGCGAGGAGCAGGAGCAGGGGCCTTTTCCAGCTCCCCCAGGAGATGGGGGGGCCAGTGGAGCAGGACAACCCTCCACCAAGAGCCCACACGAGTCCCTGTAACCCCCAGCCCCGGGGTGGCCACTCGGGGAGGGCAGAGGGGAGACTTGCCCCTCCTTCCAGGTGCGACAGGACCAAGGCCCCTGGGCCAACAGCACTGGCTTGTCACACCCCGTGGCGGGGGGCTGCGGGGGCGGGCCCGATGCTCCCCAGCCTCCTGGCGGTGCTGATCAGGCAGCGCAGCTGCACCAGGTTCAGGGGCCCCACCTCCCCGGGGTCCTGGCTCTCCAACCACCGGAGAGCCGTCTCCAGACCCCGAGCTGCCTCCCCAGCGGTGGGCGTGGCGGCCGCCGCCTCCTCCTCCTCCCCGCCGTCCATGACCGAGGGTAGGCTGCCCAGGGACGGAGGGGCCACAGGGGCCAGTGCGGGGGCCCGGCCGAGGCCTGCGTCCTCCCCGCAGCCATCGAGCAGCCCCCCTTCGCCGTCCAAGTGCAGCCACTCGGCCGCCTCCTCAGGTGCCAGGCGCTCGTAGGCCAGGGCTGCCAGGCGGCTGAGGTCGCTGAGCACCCTGCCGTGCTCGGCCGCCTCGGCCTGCCCAGCCCGCAAGCCCAGCAGCCAGCACCGCTCGATGCCGCCGGCCTGCACCAGGTCCCAGGAGAGGCCGGCCAGGTGGAGCATGTCCCTGAGCACGAAGCTGCGGGCGAAGTCCAGCGGGGAGCCCCCGGCGCGGGCGGCCAGGCGGAGCAGCTCCCGCCGGTACAGCCGCTGGAACGCAGCCCCCACGCCCTGCTCCAGCGGCGCAGGGCTGTGCGGCCGGCCGCTGTCCTGGGGCAGGAACAGCACTCGCACGGCCCCGTCGGGGGTCTGTAGCTCCTCGGGGGAGCCCAGAAGCTCGGACCAGAACCTCCGGGGGGTGTCCTCGCTCCCCTCCAGGGCGGGCGCCCCGGGCCGGGCGGGCCACCAGCAGCACGGCCCTCTGCTGCAGGCAGCGGCGGCGCAGGTGGCGCCGGACGCCGGGCACAAACTCCTCGAAGAACCAGCCCCGCAGCAGGGGGTGGCTGAGCCAGGCTTCGGGGCTGTAGCGGTAGGAGGCCCGGAGCTTGTCCCGGCTGTGGTGCCGCAGGCTGGGCGGGTCTGGCAGCTGCCCGATGACCAGCGGCTTCAGCTTGTGGCTGCCGGTCAGGTTAGTGGCCAGCAGCACGGTCACCCGGTCGCCCCGCCAGCGCCGGCCGCCGTCCCCCGCGCCCAGGGGCGCAGCCTGCTCCGGGAGCGGCCTCCAGTAGAGGCCGGTGACATTGGCGTTGTAGATCTGCTCGTCGCCGTAGGCGCCCTCGGCCGGGGGCGGCGGGGCCGGGGCGCGGGCGGGCCGGGGGGCGGCGCTCGGGGGCGGCGGGGTCTCCTGCTTGACCGGCGGGCGGAGCGCGGGCCCGGCGGCGGGCGGCTCGGCTTCGCCGTAGATGCGCTGGCTGGAGATGCCGTGGCGCTTCTGCCAGCGCCAGAACCAGCCGTGGCTGGCCTTGAAGGTGCACTCGGGCCCGTAGATCTGGCGCGCGAAGGCCTCGGCCTGCGCCTGGATGAGAGGCCCGGACAGCGGCACGCCGTGCCGGCGCAGCGCCAGGAACCACGCGTACACGGCGCGGTCGATCTCCTCCTCGTTGGCCAGGCGCATCTTCTTGCGCTGCGTGCCCGCCTCGCCGCCCAGCTGCTCCAGGAACCAGCGGAGCTTCGGCTCGTCCTTGAGCCAGCCCCGCAGCGTGCCGCCGGGCACGCCGAAGTCGCGGCACACGCTGGCCTGCCGCTCGCCACCCTTGACGCGCTCGATGGCCCGCAGCTTGTCCTTGATGGAGTAGGCCTTTCGGAAGGCCATCTTCACGGCCACGCGGGGCCGCGCGGCGGGGCCCGGGGCGGGGGCGGGAGGCCGCGGCGTCTGCGCCAGGCGCCCGGGCGGGGCGTGGCGGCCGCGCCGCGGGGCCGGGCCAGCCGGAGGGCCCGTGGGGTACATGGAGGCGGCGGTGGGGGGCGCGGGAGCCAGGAGCCCCGCCGGCCGCGCGGGGCGGGGCGGGACGGGGGCGGGGCTGACTGCGGCCCTCCCTTTTGTCTCCCTGGTTCCGGGAGGTGCGGGGGGCGGTGCAGGCAAGCTTGCCCCGCCCCAGCGTCCCTGGGACACGCCCCCGCGCGTCATTCCGGCCCGCCCCCAGCGTCCCTGGGACACGCCCCCGTGCGTCACTCCGGCCCGCCCCTCGTGCTTCGCGCAGCGCGCGCAGCCGGTCAGTTCCGCCCCGTCCCGACGAGTCCATTGAGCCCACAGCGGAGGGGGGCCGGGTGGGTTGAGGTCCAGTTCCCAGCTGTTTGCTCCGGCTCCTCCGGGGGAGGACACGCTGCGTGTGCGTTTCCTTCTGGCTTCCGTCTCCGCAGCCGCGGGGAGGGTCGCGGGGCGGACCCCGGCGGCGGGGCGGGGCGGGCGCACGAACCGCTTCCCCTGCGTCTCCGTCCGCGTGGCGTGGTCGGTCCCGGGGTCTCATTTCCCGTGCGCGCGCCGGCGGCCTCCTTTCCTCAGCCAGCCCGCCGCGAGCTCTCCCTCCGGCCGCCGCGTCCTTGGCGTGTGAGTACCGTGGCCCGCGCCGAGGCCGCCGTGCCTGCCGGGAGGCCCCGGGGCAGGGGACGGGCGGCCGGGGCGGCTCCGCGCCGTCGGGGGCCCGGGCGCCAGTGCCGGCCTGGGGGCGGTGGGCCGGTGCGGCTCCCGGGCCGGCGCAGAGGGGCGGGGCGCGCGGCCACGTGGCCGCCCGGCGCGCGGCGGGGGTGCGGGGCGCCGCTGGGACCCAGTCCGGGTGGGTGGCCGGCGTGCGCCCCGCGTGGCCGGGCCCGTAGCCTCCGGCCCAGCACGTGCTCACCGCGCCGGCCGCCCTCCTGGGAACCCAGGCGGCTCCGGAGAGGGGAGGAGACCCACTGTCCTCCGAGCGTGACCGGGTCTTGGCCCGGACCCGGAGTCGGGCCGGAGGCGAACCTGACGGCAGCCTGGGAGGTGGCGCCTTCCGTGACGAGCGGGCACTCCCCCGCGGGGCGGAGTGGGTGCGGGCCCGCGGCGGCTACAGTCCGGGGCTCGGGAAGGAAGCCGCCCGGCGCCGTGGTTGGTCCTGCCTGCGGGAGCCGTGCACACGGCCCGGGCCTGGCCTGGGCGTGGGGAGCGCTTGGCCAGGAGACTGAGCAGCTGTGCCGGCTGGGCTCCCCGAGCCAGGACGGGGCTGGCTCCAGTGCGAGCCTGCCCTGAGCCTCTGCGGACAGTGTCCCAGGAGGTGCCGCCTCAGCCCTGGCACACACTCCGGGGGCAGGCTGGGCGCCGCCTTCCTCTGGGGAGCGGGGCGGGGCTCCGGCGTCCAGCATAGGCGGGCAAGCTTGCTTGACTGGGGTTTTTCTAAACGGTGGCCTGAAGGCGATGTTTGAAAAACAGAAAGAATCCGTCCAGAGCGTCACTTGCTAGTGTCAGCATTCCGGGGGCTGCAGGCAGGGGACGGCCCCGCGCTGGTGTTTGAAGGTGACCTGTGTGTTGGTGGTGGGTGGCAGCCGACACTGGAGACGGATCCCCAACTCCTCACCCCCTCCGAGCCTTTCCCTTCCCCACTCCTGGCTCGCAGCTACGTACGAGGCCTGGACACGCACATACACGTGATGTGTACGTACAAGGGTGGAAGCACGTGTGCCTCCTGGAGCTGCCCCAAGCAAAGGGCCTGGCTGGTGAGCTGAGCCCACAGCCGCACCAGCTGTGGTGGTGGAGCCTAGGGAGGGGGAGCTTGCAGGCACAGTGAGGCCTGTCTGGCGGACGCTGTGGACAGCTCCACTGTGCAGCGCTGGTTCAGCCGCACCAGCCAGGGCCTCAGGATAGGTTGGCCGTTTTGCCTGGGGCCCCAGGAGTGGGGTCAGAAAGCTTCTGAGTAGGAGTTGGGGCTGTGGAGCGCCCCCAGAGGAGGCAAAGGGCATCCTATCTGCCTCCTGTCCACTCAGTTGCCCCTCTGCTTGGCTGTTCTAGAGCATCAAGGCTCCAGGTGCTCCCTGCTGGGGGTGCTCACTACCGGCGGGCGGACGCTGCAAACAGCTCACAGCAGCGGCAGCCGGGGCCCATAGACAGCCGAGCTGCCTGCAGACCCGGCCCCACCACCTACACCTGCTCCTGCCATTCCCACTTACCGTGGGAGGTGGACGCCTGGCCTCTGGGTGTGACTGGGGGGTGATGTGGGAAAGGGCTGCCTGAGGCTGGGGAGGGCCCCTCCCTGAAACCTTCCTCACTAGCCCAGCGTCTTGGCTCCCCAGCACCTGGGCACAGCTCTGAGGCCACGCCCCAGCTGCTGCAGGACCCTCCAGAGGCAGCGTCCTGGGAGGGGCTGCTACCTGGCTCGAGCTGGCAGCACAAGCACGGCTTCCCAGCTCCGCGGAGGCGGGAAGGCCGGGCCCAGAGGTCCCTCGGGCTGCCCCAGGCGCGAGGACGTCACCAAGGGGGCCTTCTCTAACCAGGACCAGCTCTGCTGTGGGCGCCTCTGCCCCTGGCCTGGTGGCCAGGCGGCGTCCTCCCTCTGGGCCTCCCACGCCGCGGGCCTGCAGGCTCGGGCAGCGTGGCGGGGTGGTGCCTCTTTCCGGAGGGGTCCGTGTGCTCGGGGAGGACAGCGGCCGGCGGGGCTCACGGCCGTCCTCGCCCTGGTGTGGCCGGCATTTCCAGCCGCAGCCCAGCCGGCTCCGTCCTGGGCGTGTAGGGGTGCGAGCTTGTTCTCGGAGGGGAGTGTCCCGCCTCCAAGTGGCTATCTGCCCGGAGACATGGCGTCCGGTGGGGGGCCCTCGTGGACCGCAGGCCATTGGAGCGGGTGTCGAAGGAGAGGCGGCCCTGTGTCGCTCGGCTGTCCTGGGGATCTGGCTGCAGGCAGGGGACCGGGATGTCCCTCTGGGCGCTCGGCCCCATCCCAACACCGGCTCCATGCCCAAGGGCCAGCTCTGGGTGCTGCTCCTGGCAGGAGTGCCCTCTCCCCAGAGCCACCTGCCACCCTCACCTCAGAGGCTGGGCAGTGGGTGTGGCTCCTGTGGGGAGCCTGCCCTCGGGGAGACGGGAGGCCGGGTCTTGGGGCTCTAGCACTGGGGGAGAGGTCTCGCTGTCTGTGCCCGAGGGCCTTGCAGAGCTCCTGGGGTGCAGCACCGGGCCGGCTGCTTCCTTCGGGGATGCGCTGACAGCCCTGTCCTGTGCTCGGGCAGGGAGACTGTCCCCGAGACGGCACTCTGGTGACTAAAACGCGCGGCCTGGGCCTCGTCCTCTTGTTCCGCACCCTCGGGGGCCGGGACAGGGCTGCGCTGGACTCCCCTCCAAGCTCCAGGTGGACAGTGGGCTCAGGTGCGCCTCCCAGGAACGGCCGGCCCCGGTGTGCGGTGCCTGGGCCGGTGGAGCTGGTCTCCTGGCTGTCGGCGCTGCTCCTCCAGCACCCCCCGCACCCTCCGCACCCGCCTCGGCCGGCAGCTCTGGAAGGGCCTCAGTCTCTGGGCGCCTGCCTGCCTGCCTCTAACCTTGCTGCTTTCTCTCCATGCTGTCCTAGGAGGTCAGAGTGAAAGTAAGTACTGTTCCTGCCCTGCTCCCGTCACCTGAGCAGGAGCCCCCTTCACCCAGCTCCGCACCCCTCGGGGCCTCCCTGGGCAGGTCAGGGCTCCAGTCCCCCAGACCTCGCCTCAGCCTCGTGCCAAGTTTGGGCGTCCAGAGAACTGGCTTCCCCTGCCCTGAGCACAGCCTGGTCTGGTGCCGGGGGCCCAGGAAGTGTGGAGGCCGAGAGGCTGTGGCAGGGCTTGGGCACTAGGCTAGGGGCCAGCCTGTGGGCTGTGCCAGAGGGGCCAGGCATCAGAGAGGCCAGAGGGCACATAAACCCTGCCTGGTCATCCTGCTGCCCCGTCAGGGACAGGGTGTGATGTCACAATGCCCTGCCTCCTGGGCACAGCTCCTGCCTCCCACCACTGCCTCTGCTGCCAGCCTGGCCTTGGTAAGTGCTGGGCAGGGAGGTGCCAGGGGACAGCTCCTGACCTTGCTGGGACCTCAGGGAGGCTGTGGCATGTGCCGTTAAAGGCCCCCCACATACCCCTGCCGGAGGAAGGGGGACACTCCCCAAAGTGCTTGGCAGGTGTGGGGCTTGGTCCATGGGGTAGTTGAGTCCAGTTTCCGCTTCTGGGTGTTAGGAAGGGCTGTGGGTCCCAGGTGAGGGGGGGAGGGTTTGCCCTCCCGCTGAGAGGCTGCCCTGCCTCTGGAGACTTTGCCTCCGAGTCTGAGGGCCTGTCTGGCGCTGAGGGCCACTGGTGGACGGTTGCTTAGGCTCCACCAGTGACCCACAGAAGCAGGGACAGGAGGGTGTCTGAGGGAGGGCTGCTCAGCCCTGGCAAGCTGGCATTGGATGCTGGTCAGGAGGCCTCCCTCTGCTCTGGGGGGAGGCTCAGAGTGAGCAGGGACCACCCCCCGCCCCCGCAGGGCTTTCTGGGTCTGAGCTGCTCCCCACCAGGCGCTGCGGGGCCCACACCCTCTGTTCTTGCTGAGTGGGGGCTGCCTCAGGTCTCCAGTCTGGTCCACAGGGTGCCAGCCCCCTTCCCCCGGCAGCACACCTGGCCGCAGAGCAGGGGGGAGGGGATGAGGAGGGAAGAGCGGGAGGTCGTTGCCATGAGGGCAACAGACAACGAAGGTCACCTCCATGAGGATGGAGGGCTCAGGGCCCCCCGATGTGTCCGTACGCCACGATGGGCCGCCTCCGAGACGCCCGTGCTTCCTTTAACCCAGTGCCTCGGGGTGGCCGGGCGTGGCACAGGCCGTCCAGTTAGTTTCAGACCAACAGTCACTGCCCCGTCTTGTGGGACAGCTTCCTGGGAGGGTGCTCACGCGGGGCGGATGGCGGGAGCGCGCTGGTTCGCCGGCATCCTGTCTGGTTCTGGGAAAAGGTTTCCGAGGTTCGGAAGCCACCTCCTCCAGGCCCCGCTGGAGAGTGCGGTGCATGCTGGGTTAGAAGGAAGTTTTGCGGCTAAAAGAACACAAGTCCTCACGCACACACCGTGCATGTTACTCACGTCCCCTTCGCTGAGGTCCCGGCGGGTCCGCCTGGGCCCTGCGCGGTGCGTGTGAGGATTTGTGAGGGAAGCGTCCACAGGCGGCTCCGGCGCAGGCCAGGCTCCGCGGGGGGGCGGGCACTGGCCGCGGGGCGCTGTGCTCATGCCTTCTTGTGCTTGCTTCCCTGCTGCGCGAAGATGAGGAGCAGAAAGGCCTCCTGTGCCCTGGAGACCGTCTGGGAGGACAAGCAGAAGCATGGGGAGGCTGAGCGGCGCTCCCACCAGCACCAGGCCGCGCGAGCCCCCACCGCCCCGCAGCTCCCGGCTCAGGTGCCCGCCGTGAACGGGCCGGGGCAGGACGCCGAGGAGGCCGAGGCCCCGGGCGGCAGCAGGGCCAGTCCGCGGCAGAGCCACCCCGGCAGGCAGCCCCTGCAGAAGAAGAGGAAGCGCTCCCCGAAGAGCCGGCTGGCCCGGGCAGACCTGGCCCTCGTGGGCCTCTCGGCCGACCGCGTGTGGCTGGAGAAGCCGCTCTTCGACCAGGCGGAGAGCTCCTACCGTCAGAGGCTGGCAGACTTGGCCGCCCAGGCAGCCCGGCCACCGGCGCTGGCCCCCAGGGGTCCTTGCACCCACGGAAGCCAGGTGGCCTGCCACCATGTGACCTGGGGCATCTGGGTCAACAAGTCTGCCTTTGACCAGGCCGAGCGGGCGTTTGTGGAATGGTCTCAGGCTCTGCTGCTGGCCACCGAGGGGAGCAGCGGGCAGGGGGCTCCTGACAGGGGCCCGCAGGCACCAGCCGTGGCCCTGGCCCTCACCCACCAGCCCTGCTCACCAGCCAACGGCCAGCCCCCTCTGGGCAGCCTGCAGGCGCTGGTGCGGGAGGTGTGGCTGGACAAGCCCCGCTATGATGCAGCCGAGAGGGGCTTCTACGAGGCCCTGTTCGACGGCCACCCCCCCGGGAAGGTGCGCCTGCAGGAGCGAGCCAGCCAGGCCGAGAATGCCAAGCGGGCACGCAGAGACCGGCGGGCCCGCAACGCCACGGGAAGCAGGCGGGCCGAGCTGAGGCGGGCCGAGGCGGGGCTCCCTTCGTCTGCCCTGCCCTACTGGTACTTCCTGCACAAGGATGCCGAGGCGCCCTGGCTCAGCAAGCCCACCTACGACAGTGCTGAGAGCCGCCACCACGCTGCGGAGGCCCTGCGCGTGGCCTGGCGCCTCGAGTCCACGGCTCGGGTGCACCGGCCCAGTGCGCGCTCTGGCCCGTCCACGTCCAGCCTGAGACCCAAGTAGGAGAACCTTGCTGGACGGGTGCCTGGGCCGGGCCGCGTGCACCCCTCCCTGTCCCACCCCGCAAGCTCTTCCCGAGGCCCCTGGACCCGCTCAGTTGGGTGCGGGAGTGGGTTGGGCAGTGCAGCCTCCAGGACAAGCGTTTTCCTGTGAGATCACTGAGCATGAGGCTCCGGGCTGATGCCCCATGCAGGGTGTTCGTGGGGAAGCTCCTCGGAGTGTCGGCGGCCCCGCTCCTGGAGTCCGAAGGATGTGCCCGGCGAGGCAGACTTACAGCCTGATGGCCCGGGGCCGCCTCCAGGACAGCTCCCTTCAGTGCAGCCATGGTCTGTGGAGGGCAGGTCAGAGGCCTGGAGAGGTGGGAGGGGGAGCAGCCAGCGCCTGGCCAGGAAAGGGGTTCCCGGGCAGGTGGGCAAAGTGACAATGGACACTAAGGGCCCTGTGGTGTAGGGGCTGGGCCAGTGGGATGTGCAGAGGCACCTGGGTCTCCAGGGAAGGGTGCCAGCCTGGCCCCCGGTTCCCGTGGGAGCCCCTTTGCTCTGCCCCTCTGAAGGGTTGAGCTGATGGGTTGACAGGACTGGCCTCGTGAAGGACAGGGCACGGCCCATGGTGGAGGAGGGGGGCATGGGGCCCGAAACCGAGTTCATGGATCTGGCTTCTCACGGGGGAGACGCACTTCCTCTTGTCAGCGCGAGGCACAGAGAACGGGTGGGGTGGGGTAAGGCGCAAGAAGGCTCTGCGGGCCCAGGTCTGGGCAGCTGCCCACCTCGTCGGGCTGGGGGAAGCAGCAGAGGGGCGTCGGCCCAGGCAGGATGGGCACGGCGGGCAGCGGCTGGGCGTGGCCCGGCCCGAGTTGGCTCGCCCAGGCCCAGCGCAGCAGCTCTCAGCCTTACTGACCTCGGAGCCCTGGAGAGCTTTGTTTTGTCTGGTCCTCCTCACCGGCAGAGGTGCTGCTGGTGTGCGCTGGGGACATGGCGAGCTGGTTGCACGCGGAGAGGCCGTTTCCTGTGAGATCACTGGGCAGGCGTGTGAGATCCTTAGTGTCTGCGCGGTAGGCGGCAGTGGCATCCCCCTGCCTGTGTTTGGGTGTGGGTGTGCTGTCAGGTGTGCTTGGAAAAGGGGGGCCTCGGCATCCCCAGAAGTTCCTGGCCACACTGAGCCGCTGGTCTTTGCGACGGGCCTGGACCCGGGCCTGTGCGCAGAAGGGAGTGGCGTGCCGGTGGGAACAGGTGGTGTGGACGGGGGCTCCCTGCTCTGCTGTGGGGCCTGGAGACCCTGCACCTTGGCATCTGGGTTGCGAGAAGGGGCCTGTGCAATCCAGGTGGTCAGCCTCTCCTTTTCCTCCCAGCAGGAAAATGGCCACAAACTTCCTGGTACACGAGAAGATCTGGTTCGACAAGTTCAAGTACGATGATGCCGAAAGGAAATTCTACGAGCAGATGAACGGGCCTGTGACTGGCTCCTCGCACCAGGTGAGGCCGGGCTTGGGGCGCTGGCAGGCTCTGCCCCAGGTGCTGGAGGTGGGGTCTGTCGAGGGTCCTGCTGCTCCTGGGGTGCGGGGCCTGCTCCTGTCTCAGCGTCCACTGTCTGTGTGTAGGCCGCGGGGAGCACAGCACGCGCAAGCCGGGGGCCGAGGCCACACGGCAGGGCTCTGCACCTCGCGCATCTCGCTGCCCGCTGAGCTTCCGTCCGCACGCCTCGTCCTCGCTCTCCACAGGAGGGACATAGGGTTCCTATTTTTTTTTAAATATAAAAATTTTTAATGAAAGAAAAGACTGGTTCTTTCTGCACTGTCTGCAGGAGAACGGCGCAAGCGTGATCCTCCGGGACATTGCGAGAGCCAGAGAGAACATCCAGAAATCCCTGGCCGGAGTGAGTACCCAGGCTGGCGCTCCGCCTCCCTCATGCCACAGCGCGTGACTCCCCAGTGCCGCTGCGGGCTTTGCCCTTGAAGCAAAGCCAGGCAAGGCTGCTGCCCAGGCAGGTCCTGGCCCAGACCACAGCAACGCTTCCTCTGCCTCCTCGCTGTGCTGCTCGCCTGCTTGCTCGCGCACCACTGGGTCTCCCTCCTCACTCCCTCCCCCTCAGCCCTCCTCCTGCTTGCTCTCCTAAGGGAAGCCTCCTTCCCTACTGGGCCTTGACCTCCCCAGGGATCACAGGGAGTGGAGTTCAAATCACAGAATGAGCACCTTCCTGAGTTTGAGGCCCAGGCGGGGCCCTGCAGCGCACCGCGCTTCCTGGTCCCAGATGGGACCATGGCCACGCTGTCTGCCTGGCTGGGAGGTCTGTCCCTAGGAGGCGGCAGGCCTACTGGTCCACCTTCCTGGCCAGGGGGCCCGGGCCTCTTTCTCCCTCTGACCTGGGAGTGTCCTGCCCTGAAGGCCACGCGTCCGCATAGCTGTGCTCCTTTGGAGCCTCCAGGGGGCGTCATTCTGCCTTTTCCAGCTTCTAGAAGCTGCCCACTCCTTGGCCTGTGGCTCCTCGCCAGCAGTTCATGACCTGCTCCTGTCACATCTCCTCCCTGCCTTTCTCTCCTGTGGACCTGGGGGTGACGCTGGGCCCACCTGGGTAACCCAGGGTCACCTCCACCTCCCCTACCTCATCACGTCTGCAAAGTCCCTTTTGCCATGTGAGTCACCTACCTGCACAGCTGGTTCGGGTGCTGGCCACAGGCTGGGCAGCCCAGGCAGGTGTCCCCTGGGAAGTGGTGCCACCGCCAGCTGCCCAGCAGGCCCTGCATTGGGCGTGACCCCTACTTGCCTTCTACCTCCCCCGGGTGAGCCGGGCAGACACAGGCTCTGGTGGCATGGGGTCTTTGCACCAAGAGCGCCTCCTCCCCCCGCTCGGGCCTGGCTGTGGGGCAGCTGCTGGGTCCTGGTCTTGGGGCAGCTGTGGTGTGCTGCTGGGGCTTGGGTCACAAAGCACCACCGACCACAGCATAAGCGTCGTTTGATTTTCTCACAGTCTGAAGGCTGGAGTCCACGATCAAGGTGTGGGCAGGGCTGGTTCCCTGCAAGGCCACACTCTTTGGCCTGCGGATGGCCGTTTCTCCCCTTGTTTCTGCATCCTCTCGCCTGGGTGTCCTCTGAGGACACCAGCCAGTGGGCTAGGACCACCCTAATGACCTCAGTGTGATGGTCGCCCCGTGGAGGCCCTGCCCCAGAGCTCCGGTTGTGAGTTCATGCTGGGGTGGTGCGGACGGAGCCGGCGGGGCGAGGGCATAGTCTTACGGAGAGGACTGGTGACGTGCAGGGCTGGCACCAGTGACCTGCTGTCTTCCCACACTTACCTGCCGCGCAGCAGGGCTCCAGGCGCCAGCCTACTGCCAGGACCCCGTTCACTTGCTCCCAAACTAACCCCTGGGAGAGGAGCCTGCGGAGCTGAGGCCGGATGATTGAGCAGGAGTGGGAGCGCTGGCTTCCATCCCTGTGTGGCCCAGGCCATCGGAGGTCTTGGAGAGAATGGCGTGGGGCTATGGCTGATGATGGCGGTCTGAATGAAACTGGGCGGCCCAACCGGGGCTGTCCTGCCTGGACACCTTGAGCCTATCCGTAGAGCAGTGGCTTGTCCTGTGGCTGCCTGGGTGGGCCTCAGGCCAAGGTCTTTATCCTGCTTGGACACTGGAGGATGGACAGTGGCCCTGGGGAAAGGGCCAGGTGCACACTGTGTTCCCAAAGCCGTTCACTTGTGCGTGACTCAGGTGTGAGCTGTGGTGCCCTGTGGGTGAGCTCCCTGGGCAGCTCTGTGTGGGCCAGACGGGCCAGCGCCCCCTGCGCAGACCTAGTGAGCCGGGCGCCGTGCGGGCTGGGGGTGCAGGGGGGGCGGCTGTCCTGGGCTCGGGCAGGCTCCTTCCTGTCCCACGGGCCCCTTGGCTGCCCAGTCCTCCTGAGACCACAGGCCAGGCTGCCCCTGGGACTGTCAGTCCTGCTTCCCTCACACCGGGCAGTGGCAGTCATGGCTCTGAGCTGCTGCCCTGGCCCCCTGCTTCCTGCTTGGTCCTGCAGCCACCCTATCCCCACTGGGCTGCCGCCTCCCTCCTGGTGAGGCCTGGCAGGGACTACTGCCGCCCGGTGTCTCAGGCCTCCTGCCCCGCTCGGGGCTGTGCTGCTCAGTGTCTGTGGGGGCCTCGGAGCGGGTGGGTGACTCGCCCTCACCGCCCCCTGCCTTGCAGAGCTCAGGCCCCGGAGCTTCCAGCGGGCCCGGCGGAGACCACAGCGAGCTCCTCACCCGGATCGCCAGCCTGGAAGTGGAGAACCAGAGCCTGCGGGGAGGTGAGGCGCTGGGCTCGGTGGGGAGGGGTGGGGCCCGGCTGCTGTGGTCTGACCAGCATCCCCCCGCACCCCGCACCCCGCAGTGGTGCAGGACCTGCAGCAGGCCATCGCCAAGCTGGAGGGCCGTCTGAGCGTGCTGGAGAAGAGCTCGCCGGCCCACCGGGCCACCGCCCCGCAGACCCAGGTGAGCGCCCACACCTGGCCCAGGGGCACGAGGGGGGAGGCCCCCGGCCAGGAGCCCGCGCCTCACCCCTCCCCTCCGGCAGCACGTGTCGCCCATGCGCCAAGCCGAGCCGCCCAGCAGGAAGGCGGCACCGGCACCGGCACCGGCGGCCGCGGCCGAGGACGATGAGGACGACGACGACGACATCGACCTGTTCGGCAGCGACGAGGAGGCCGACAAGGAGGCCGTGCGGCTGCGGGAGGAGCGGCTGCGGCAGTACGCCGAGAAGAAGGCCAAGAAGCCGGCGCTGGTGGCCAAGTCCTCCATCCTCCTGGACGTGAAGCCCGTGAGTGCCCGCTCGGCCGCCAGCCCGGGTCAGGTCGCAGGCTCAGGGAAATGTGGCGTGAGGGGGGCAGGGGGCGGGGGTAGAGGGCGCTGCTGTGCGGCCCCCCGTGATCTGTGGGCCCCTGACCCAGCCTCTCCTCCCTCCGTTCCCCAGTGGGATGACGAGACGGACATGGCTCAGCTGGAGGCATGCGTGCGCTCCGTCCAGCTGGACGGGCTGGTCTGGGGGGGCTCCAAGCTGGTGCCCGTGGGCTACGGCATCCGCAAGCTGCAGATCCAGTGCGTGGTGGAGGACGACAAGGTGGGCACCGACCTGCTGGAGGAGGAGATCACCAAGTTCGAGGAGCACGTGAGTGGGCAGGCTCTTGGGGGGCAGTCCGGGGGGGCAGGGGGCCTCTGGGAAACGGCCTCACCTGACCATGCCCTCCCTTCTCCAGGTGCAGAGTGTCGACATTGCGGCTTTCAACAAGATCTGAGCCCCAGCCCCAGCCCTGGCGGCCCTGCCACCATTAAAGACTGCAATTCCCTGTCTGGCTCCTGTCTGGTCTGGGCCTGTGGGCGGGGCGTTCAGTGGGCTGTCAGTCCTCCCCGGGGGCCATGGCCATGCCCCCTTGGCCTCTGCACAGCCTCCCGGTGGCTGTGGCCTCACCCCGCCTGCCCTCTGCTCCGTCTTTGGGCCTGTGTTCACTCACCCATCACGTGCCACGTCCTGTACAGGCTGTGGTGCCAGGAAGAAGGCCGGCCCTTCTCTCATCCTGGGGCCCAGGAGGCACCCAGCTCTCCCCTCGCCCTCTGCCTCCTTGCTGTTCCTGGCTGAGCTGTCTCTGTGGGAGCAAAAGTGCCCGCCTCAGCTGTCCAGGAGAGGGGCCCTAGGGGCTGGCCTGGCCCTCCTGTGACCAGGCACTTGCCCCAGGTCTGACCTGTGTGAGCCCTGCCTCCCATCCCTGGCCCTCATTCAGCCCTTGGAGGGCACCTTGCCCTGCACACTGCCTGGCAGCCCCATTACTGGTGGACGGCGGCCTGCGGCAAGTCCCATGCCACTGTCCTGTGGAGTCCTGCCTGTTGCCCCACCCCCACCCCTGCCCCGTCTACCGGTGTGGGTGCCACTGGGTTTCCCAGGGCTGGCCCGTCCTGCTGGTGAGTGCTGCTCTCGGTATCAGAAAGGCTGGGCTGCAGCTACTCGGGTTGGATCTGCCCCTTGGGGGCCCTGAGGCTCCCCATATTACAGGGCCCCTGTGGTGCCCGCTGGGGATGGGCACCAGGCTGGCTGCTTCCTGAGCACAGGAAGAGCCAATTGGAGCACCTCCACCTGCCCCTCCCCAGGCCTGGGTGGCTCCAAGGAGGGGCGGGGACAGTCCAGCAGGGGGTGGGGTCACCACTGCCTTAGGCGCCCTCCCACCCGGCGCAGAGCCGGGGGAGGCCGGAGGGGACCGCGCTCAGGCTGCTGAGGAGCTGGGCTCCCGGGACGGGGACACATGGCCCCCTTCAGCCCGCTCCGGCCCAGAGGACTCGGGTCCAGAGACCAGCAGCCCCGCCCCGCCCCTGCGTTGCCAGGAAAGGCGGAGGCTTCCCGGGCGTCCTCGCCCTCCGGGAGCCCGTTCACTGGGCCCAAAGGCGTTGTGACGGGCGGGCCCGGCACCGCTATTGGGGATGCAGGGTCACGTGGGCCGGCGGGGCGGGGAGTCCAGAGTCCGGCCGGGCGCGATGGCGGCAGAGCAGGACCCCGAGGGGCCCGCGGCGGCGCGGCCGCTGCTCACCGACCTGTACCAGGTCACCATGGCGCTGGGCTACTGGCGCGCCGGCCGGGCGCGCGACCCCGCCGAGTTCGAGCTCTTCTTCCGCCAGAGCCCGTTCGGCGGCGCCTTCGCCCTGGCCGCCGGGCTGCGCGACTGCGTGCGCTTCCTGCGCGCCTTCCACCTGCGCGACGCAGGTACGCGGCCCGCCCGCCGCCGCTCCCCGCAGGCCTCCCGCCCCGCGCCCCCCACGCGGCCCGCCCGCCGCCGCTCCCCGCAGGCCTCCCGCCCCGCGCCCCCCACGCGGCCCGCCCGCCGCCGCTCCCCGCAGGCCTCCCGCCCCGCGCTCCCCACACGCGCCCGGGTGGGGACCCCGGTGAGCCCTTCACTGCGCCCCGATGAGCCCCACGACCGAGGAGGCGGTGCCGCCCGGGGAGCCGCCTCGGCCGCGCCCTCCAGCCCACGCGGCCTCTGTCGCCCCCAGACGTGCGATTCGTGGCCTCGGTGCTGCCCGCAGACACTGACCCCGCGTTCTTCGAGCACCTCCGGGCCCTTGACTGCTCCGGGGTGACGGTGCGGGCCCTGCCCGAGGGCTCCCTCGCCTTCCCCGGCGTGAGTGCGGGCTGCGCGGGGCGGAGGGGGGTCCAGGGGGGCGGGGCGGGCCCGCTGACACCCTCCCGCAGGTGCCGCTGCTGCAGGTGTCGGGGCCGCTGCTGGTGGTGCAGCTGCTGGAGACGCCGCTCCTCTGCCTGGTCAGCTACGCCAGGTGGGCCCCGCACCCCCACCCCCGGCGGTGTTGCCCGGAGAGCCGGGGCTCCCGGGAGGCCGGGCCTTTGGGGGTGGATGTGGCATCGCTCGGCCTCCGGGGGGCCGGGTGGTGGGGCCGTCGTGAGCCTCACCCTGGTCCCCGCCTGCCCGCTCCCGCAGCCTCATTGCCACCAACGCGGCGCGGCTCCGCCTCATCGCCGGGCCTGAGAAGCGGCTGCTAGAAATGGGGCTGCGGCGTGCGCAGGGCCCCGACGGCGGCCTCACGGCCTCCACCTACAGCTACCTGGGGGGTGAGGCCGGGAAGGGAGGGGAGGGGGCGGAGGAGGACCCCCGCCTGAGGCCGCCTCTGAAGCCCACAACGCTGCCCGCTGCCTCCAGGCTTTGACGGCAGCAGCAACATGCTGGCGGGACAGCTGCGGGGCGTGCCGGTGGTGGGCACCCTGGCGCATTCCTTTGTCACCTCCTTTTCTGGCTCTGAGGTGCCTCCGGACCCGGTCAGTACCCTTCTCTCCCCCCTGAGCTCCAAGGGCAGCCCCCAAGGCCAGGCCTGCGGGAGGGGGTCCAGTCCGGGCCCTGGGAGCCGCCTGGGCAGATAGCCGGTGTGGACCCGGGAAGTCGGCAGGCAGGCGGCATTGCCCGGGGTGAGCTCTGAGCTCACCCTTCGCTGATCCCTCTTCCCAGATGCTGGCTCCGGCTGCTGGCCAGGGCCCCAGGGTGAACCTGGCCACCCGTGTGGAGGTGTGGCTGGAGCGCGTGTGCGCCCACCTGGGGCTGGGGGCGCAGGACCCGCACCCCGGGGAGCGGGCGGCCTTTGTGGCCTATGCCCTGGCCTTCCCCCGGGCCTTCCAGGGCCTGCTGGACACCTACAGCGTGAGGAGGTGAGCCGGGCACCCACCCACACACAGGGGTGGGGCTGGCGGAGAAGCTGCAGCACCCTGACCCCTTGTCCGGCCAGGAGCGGGCTGCCCAACTTCCTGGCGGTGGCCCTGGCCCTGGGGGAGCTGGGTTACCGGGCCGTGGGCGTGCGGCTGGACAGCGGGGACCTGCTACAGCAGGCCCAGGAGGCGCGGGCGCTCTTCCGGTCCGCGGCGGCCCAGTGAGTCCAGGGGCCCGTCTGCCCAGAGAGCCCCTCAGGGTGCGGGTGTAGGGGAAGGGCAAGGAGAGGGAGGGACCCTGCCCCCTGCCCCTGCCCCTGGCTTTCCCACAATGAGGACATCTGGTCTGGGCCTCCCTCCATGGAGACCGGCCTGCGTGGTCACGGCGGCCCATGAGGCTGAGGCAGATCCTCCCGTGGGAGGGGTGTGGGCAGGGAAGGAGGGATGTGACTAGGGGCGTGGCCTGGTGAGGGCGTGGTCATGATGTGGGCGTGGTTATGGAGGGAGGGCGGGGCCAGGAGAGGGGCGTGGGCAGGGAGGGAGGGCGGGGTCAGGGGAGGGAGCCCCGGTGAATCGGGAACTTCTGAGCCCCGTCCCAGGTTCCAGGCGCCCTGGCTGGAGTCAGTGCCCATCGCTGTCAGCAACAACATTGATGAGAAGGAGCTGGCGCGGCTGGCCCAGCAGGTGGGGCGGGTGGCCCAGCAGGAGGGCCTGGGCCTGCCGAGGGGCTGAGCCCACAGCCCGTCCTCTCCCCTTCTAGGGCAGCGAAGCGGATGTCATCGGCATTGGCACCAGCCTGGTCACCTGCCCCCGCCAGCCCTCCCTGGGCTGCGTCTACAAGGCAGAGCCGGGACGGGGCGCTGGGGGCGGGCGTGGGCGTCCTGGGGTGGGGAGGGGGCAGGCTCTCAGCACCCTATCCCTGCAGCTGGTGTCCGTGGGAGGCCAGCCTCGCATGAAGCTGACCGAGGACCCCGAGAAGCAGACCTTGCCCGGCAGCAAGGCCGCCTTCCGGCTCCTGGGCTCCGATGGTGAGGCCCCCACCTCTGGGTCCCCCTCCAGGCCCAGGATCCCTCATCATTCTTGGTGCCCCCCCCCCAACCCCTTACAGGGTCTCCGCTGCTGGACCTGCTGCAGTTGGCGGAGGAGCCGGCGCCCCAGGCAGGCCAGGAGCTGAGGGTCTGGCCCCGGGGGGGCCAGGAGGCCTGCACCGTGAGGCCGGCGCACGTGGAGCCACTACTGCGGCTCTGGGTCCAGCAGGGCCAGGTGACTCCGCCCCCGCCGCTTAGTCTGCACCGGCGGCCCACATCCAGCCCTGACCCTGACCCTGACCCCAGCCCCTTCTCTCCCCTCAGCTGTGCGAGCCCCTCCCGCCTCTGGCCGAATCCCGAGCCCTCGCCCAGCGCTCCCTGAGCCGGCTCAGCCCCGCGCACCGGCGGCTGGAGCTGCCCGCCGGGTACCAGGTGGGTGCAGCGCAGCCCCGGCTCCCGGTGCGCCTCCGCCCCACGGCCGCCAGCGCTCCTCTCCCCCTGCAGGTGGCGCTGTCGGAGCAGCTGCGGGCGCTGGTGCAGAGGCTGAGCGCCGGCGCCTCCCCGTGAGCCCGCGGAGCTGCCCGGATCAACACGAGTCACTCACTGCCCCCAGCGTGTCCCGTGTCATTTCTTTTCTCTGGGCCTCAGAGGGTGCTTCACTGGAGCGGCCATGCTCCCAGGAAGGCCTGCTGAGGCCGGAGCTAGGCCTCCAGAGCTGGGCCCTGGGTGGCCGAATGAGGCTGCACAGGGCAGGAGCTGGGGGGTTCCTGGGGGTTCTGGTGCCCCCCCCCCGGGATCTGGGGGGTTCCTGGAGGGCTTGGTGCCCCCCCGGGATCTGGGGGGTTCCTGGGGGCTTGGTGCCCCCCCGGGATCTGGGGGTTCCTGGGGGGCTCGGTGCCCCCGCGGGAGTTGGAGGTTTCCTGGGGGCTTGGTGCCCCCCCGGGAGTTGGGGGGTTCCTTGGGGGCTTGGTGCCCCCCCGGAGTTGGGGGTTTCCTGGGGGCTTGGTGCCCCCCCCGGGAGTTGGGGGGTTCCTGGGGGGCTTGGTGTCCTCCCAGGAGTTGGGGGTTTCCTGGGGGCTTGGTGCCCCCCCGGGAGTTGGGGGTTCCTGGGGGGCTTGGTGCCCCCCCCGGAAGTTGGGGAGTTCCTTGGGGGCTCGGTGCCCCCCCCCGGGAGTTGGGGGATTCCTTGGCGGCTTGGTGCCCCCCCGGGAGTTGGGGGTTCCTGGGGGCTCTGGTGCCCCCCCGGGAGTTGGGGGTTCCTGGGGGCTCTGGTGCCCCCCCGGGAGTTGGGGGTTCCTGGGGGCTCTGGTGCCCGCCCCCCAGGAGTTGCTGTGGAGGCCTCACCCTGCTGGAGGCTCAGCAGCAGGGGCCAGGGGTTGGGGATGAGCTGCCAGGTTTCCTGCATCAAAGGGTGGCCTCGGGCTCCCACACGTCTGGGGCCCCACCCCAGCTCTGGGTCAGCGGGACCCCCGCCTTTCTATGCCAAGGAGAAGCCAGCGCCTCCACCACGGCTGTGCCAGCCCCCTCTGCCTGGGCGCCCTCTGCCCGGGGCTCTGGCGGCCTGCCTCTGCAGGCCAGTGTCCGTCCTGCTGGCTTTGCAGCTCGGACTCTGGCGAGACGCAGGGGCTGGTCGTCCTCCTGTGACCCAGGAGGGCGTGGTTCTGTCCTGGTCCGGGCACAGGCCCGGGTTGCAGGCTCCATCCCTAGTGGGGTGTGCAGGAGGCAGCCGGTCAATGTTTCTCTCTCCCTCTCCCTCTGGAATCAATAAAAGGATAAGAAAAACACAAAGGGCCAAAACCGGTGTGGCTCAGTGGTAGAGCATCCGTCTGCGGACTGAAAGGTCCCGGGTTTGATTCTGGTCAAGGGCATGTACCTTAGTTGTGGGCACATCCCCAGTGGGGGGTGTGCAGGAGGCAGCTGATCGATATTTCTAACTCTATCCCTCTCCCTCTCTGTAAAACATCAATATATATATATTTTTTAATTTAAAAGAAAAACACACACACACACACAAAGGAACTGCTCAGGAGTGGGTCCAGCCTGCAGGGCACAGGGAGGCCCAGGCCTCGCCAGCCTGGCCAGCAGCAGGGGGCACGGGCGGGCACGGGCATGGGGAGTGCTGCCTGGGGCGCTTCCGGGAGTGCTGCCACTGCCAGGTATTCGGCCCAACCAGCTCCTCCGGCTCCGGCTCTCTGGGGAGTGCCCGTCCTGTCGCTGGGCTGAGGTGACAGAGATGGAGACACAAACAGCTGAACCAGGTCCCTACAGGTCACCACTGCCTGGCTGTGCGCCCACTTCCCAGGACCCTGAGGTCAAGCACTGGGGGAGGGGCACCACTGTCCAGGCCCCTGAGGGTCACCTGCCAGGCGGGGGAGGCCTGCCCCCTTCCCTCTGCCCAGGGCCGTGCCCAGCTCCGAGGCGGAGGCTGCTGTCCGTCCCCCTGTCCCAGGATGTCCAGCTGGGTCAGAATGCAGTGACTCAGCCTGGACCCGACTCCGCCCGGGGCTGGGCCTCCACGGGGCTATCCACACCTGCCGGTCCCCTGGCCCTCGGGTTTGAGGTCAGGGTCAAGTGTCCTTCTTGCCCTCCCCTCGCAGAGGGACCACCTCCTGGGAATCGGCCCTCCCTGGGCCCTGGGGGCAGAGCCAGACCCACCTGCGCAGGCTTTAGGCCACTCACACTGGCGGCCGGGCCACTGGGTCTGTCCTGGGGCTCCACGCCCGGGGACACCCGTGTGGCTCCCCAACCCCCCACATACTTGGAGCAAAGGCTCACACACCACGCCTCCCGGCCCCGCCCGCCCCGGCTGCTTCTAGGTCAGGCTCGGGCATGACTTCCTGGGAGGACCCTTGGCAGATGGTGTGGCCGGGCCTGCTGAGGGCTGTGTGGCAGCCATGGCTGGGGGGGTGTGGGGCCGGGGCCAGGCCCGCGGAGGCCCTGTGGGGGCCCTCACCCTGACCGCTCTGGCTGAAGGGATCCAGGCCAGCCAGGGGCAGCCCGCCAGACCCCCTCCCAAGGGCCCTGAGCCCCAACCAGAACTCAAGCCTGAGGCGCAGCCTGGACGTGCAGCCCCAGCCACCCCCACGGCTGCCCCGGAGCCCGGCTCCCCTCCCCATGGGCAGGAGCCGGCCCCTGAGGGGCCCCAGCAGGTGAGTGGGAGGGAAGGAAAGCTGGGGGTGGCCTGGGGGGCAGGGATCTGACAAGGGGGGCAGTTGGGGGAGGCATGGGGGCTGCCCTGTCTGGGGAACAAGGGGGCAGGGACTTCATGGCATCAGTGTAGGGGAGGGGAGGGGGCTGGGAGGAGGGCTGGGAGAGGCGAGAGGACTTCATACACACACACCCCAACCCCGCCCGCTCCAGACCCCCCCGAGCGCCTGGGAGCAGGGGGCCCTCGCTGACCTGGCGCTGTACATGGCGGCCTGCCTGGAGGAGGCGGGCCTCTCGGGAACACAGGCCACGGCGCTCACTCTGTCCTCGGCCCTGGAAGCCCAGGGGCAGCGGCTGGAGGACCAGGTGGGCCCCCAACCCGTCCTGCCCCCGAGGCTCCCGCCTCGTCCCCTCCGGGGGGGGTGGAGTGGGCAGAGTGGACGTCCAGGGTCATGAGGCCGGGTCACTGACATCCCCCTCCCGCGCCAGGTGCAGGCCCTGGTGCTCGGGCTGCTGGCGCAGGTGCCCAGCCTGGCCGAGGGGAGGCCCCGGCGCGCAGCCCTGCGGGTGCTGAGCTCGCTGGCCCTGGAGCACTCCCGCGAGGTGGTGGGCGCGCTGCTGCCCCGCTCTCTGCCCCCGGACCGGTAACCCCCCGCCCGCCCCCGCCAGGCTGCAGCCCGTCCCCTCCCCACAGGGCTTCCTCCCCTGCCCACTCACCGGCGGAGTCCGGCCCCCGTGGGCGGCTGTGGGGGGGACCTCCTGCACCCCCACTCCGCCTCCTCTATCCGTGCCCCCCACCTCGGGCCCGGGCACTGGGCCCCCGGCTTGGGTCTGGACTTTCCCCCTGGTTGGCCCTGGGCCCTGGGGGCAGCGGGCTGAGTGCCGACTGTGCCCAGCGCCCTGGCTCTCTGCTCTAAGCGGCTCCAGAAGGTAACTGGTCACAACTCTCCACGGGACTGTGTTGGTTTTTCTAAAAATCCTCACGTGAGGGTATGTTTACAGAAGAGAGAGAGGGCGGGAGAGAAACACCACTGTGAAAGAGAAGCATCGACTGGTTGGTTGCCTTCCACCTGTACCCCAGCCGGGGACAGGACCCACAGCCTAGGCGTGCACCCTGACCCGGGATCGAACCCTCAGCCTTTCCCTGGTCACAGCCCGGGGGATGCTCTGTGCCTGTCCACGGCGCAGGCGTCTCTGTCGCCGCGGGACGGGCTCCCCACTGCTCGGCCCCCCTGCCCGGCGGCAGCACAGGTGCCACTGAGCTTGTTCCTCTGGAATTGGGGTGCAGTGGGGCGGGCGGTTTATCGGCTCCTCTCAGGGGCCACCCCAGGCTGACCTGGTGCCCCCGGGGGGACCCCGCCTCACCAGCCCGGTGCCCGCAGGGCGGCGGCCGAGCTGTGGCGCAGCCTGAGCCGGAACCAGCGCGTGAACGGGCAGGTGCTGGTGCAGCTGCTGTGGGCGCTGAAGGGCGCGGCGGGACCCCAGCGGGAGGCACTGGCCGTAGGTGACTCCAGCCGGCACCGCCGGGGCCGGCCGGCCAGGTGGCAGGGGCCGGGGCTGAGGGGCACGCACATCTGTAAGGAGCCTGGGCGCCCGGGCCGGGCTGAGCGGGCGGCCTCTTCCACAGGCCACGCGCGCCCTCGGGGAGATGCTGTCCGTGTCCGGCTGCGTGGGTGCCACGCGCGGCTTCTACTCGCACCTGCTCCTGGCGCTGGTCACTCAGCTGCACGAGCTGGCCCGGGGCCCAGGCTCCCCCGGCGCCCACAAGGGGTGGGCCGCCTGTGACCGGGGACCACCGCACGGCCACTCCAGGTGCGGGCGTGGGGGACGGGAGGGCTGGCCGTGCCCTCTGCCCGCCGGCCGCCCGCCCTCACCGCCCTGTCCCTGGCCTCCAGCTGCGCCGTGGAAGCCCTGAAGGCCCTGCTCACGGGGGACGGCGGCCGCATGGTGGTGACCTGCATGGAGCAGGCGGGAGGCTGGAGGCGGCTGGCCGGAGCCCACACCCACCTGGAGGGAGTCCTGCTGCTGGCCAGGTGCGGGGCGGGGCCGAGGCGGGGCGGGTGGAGGCGGGCGGGCGGGGAGCTGCTCCGGAGCGAGGACAGTAGAGGAAGAGACCCCGTTACCTCCCGCCAGCGCCATGGTGGCCCACGCGGACCACCACCTGCGGGGCCTCTTCGCCGACCTGCTGCCCCGGCTGCACAGCGCCGATGACACCCAGCGCCTCACGGCCATGGCCTTCTTCACCGGGGTGAGCCGGGTCCGGGGTGTGTGTGGGGGGCGGGGACGTGGCCTTGGTCGCCGGCACCGGCCTGCCAGCCGCTGACCCCGCGCCCCCGCCCAGCTGCTGCAGAGCGGGCCCACCGCGCGGCTCCTGCGGGAGGAGGCCATCCTGGAGCGGCTGCGCGCCTGGCAGCGCGACCCCGAGCCCACGGTGCGCTGGCTGGGCCTGCTGGGCCTCGGCCACCTGGCGCTGAACCGCGGGAAGGTGAGGCCCGGCGGGGCGGGCGGGCGGGGCCTGCGGCTGCGAGCTCCGCCCACGACCCCGCCTCCGCAGGTGCGGCACCGGCGGGCGCTGCTCCCCGCGCTGCTGGGCGCCCTGGGCGAGGGCGACGCGCGACTCGTGGGCGCCGCGCTGGGCGCGCTGCGGAGGGTCCTGCAGCAGCCGCGGGCGCCCGTGCGGCGCCTGAGCACCGAGCTGGGCTCGCGCCTCCCGCCGCTGCTGGACGACGTGAGCGCCACCCGGACCCCGGGCCCCGCCCCGGGCCCCCGGCCCCGCCCCGCCCACCCCAGGCTCCCCCACCCTCCACCCCAACCAGGCCCCGCCCCGGGCCCCGCCCGCCCGCCCCAGGCTCCCCCACCCCCCCACCCTCCACCCCAACCAGGCCCCGCCCCGGGCCCGCCCCGCCCACCCCAGGCTCCCCCACCCCCCACCCCAACCAGGCCCCGCCCCGGGCCCCGCCCGCCCGCCCCAGGCTCCCCCACCCCCCCACCCTCCACCCCAACCAGGCCCCGCCCCGGGCCCCGCCCCGGGCCCCCGCACGCCCCGGCCCCGCCCACCCCAGGCTCCCCCCACCCCCCCACCCTCCACCCCAACCAGGCCCCGCCTCGGGCTCCAGGCCCCCCGACCTCGCCCCAGACGCCGCTCCGGAGACCCTGTCCCCGCCCCGCCCTGACAGCGCCCTCCCTCGCAGGCCAGGGACCCGGTCCGCGCCGCGGCGGTCGGGCTCCTGGGGACGCTGGTGCGGCGGGGCCGGGGCGGGCTCCGCGTGGGCCTTCGAGGCCCGCTGCGGAAGCTGGTGCTCAGGAGCCTGGTGCCCCTGCTGCTGCGCCTGCACGACCCCAGCCTGGATGCTGCCGAGGTCAGTCCCCCCAGACTGTCCCCGGCCGCCGCCTCTCCCAGCTCTTTCCAGCCCCACCCTCCTACCTCTCCCAGCCCCACCCAACTGCCCCTCCCAGCTCCTCCCAACCCCACCCTCCCACCTCTCCCAGCCCCTCCCAGCCCCACCCTCCTGCCCCTCCCATCCCACCCTCCTACCTCTCCCAGCCCCACCCTCCTGCCCCTCCCAGCCCCAACCTCCTACTTTTCCCAGCTCCTCCCAGCCCCACCCTCCTACCTCTCCCAGCCCCACCCTGCTGCCCCTCCCAGCCCCACCCTCTCCCAGGGGCGGGGGGGGGGGGCTTCCTCACGGACCTGGGCGCAGGCCTCCTGGGCTCCCCGTTTCCTGGGGCTCCTGCCCTGGACTTCTCCAGCCCTGGCACTGGCCACACCCAGTCGCCTCTGCCGCCTTTCGGACCCTCCCCGCCCTCCCCGTCCCAGAGCTCCGAGTGGACGCTGGTGCGCTGTGACGGCGCCCTGCGCTGGGGGCTGCTGGAGGAGGTGGTCACTGTGGCCCACTACGACAGCCCCGAGGCCCTGAGCCGCATCTGCCGCCGCCTGGTAGGTGGGGCGTGGCCCACCCACCCCGAAACGGAGTCTCCGCCCTCCCCGCCGGGCGCCCGGCCTGACCGCTTGCGGGGCACTCCCCGGGAGACGCAGCCCGGCCGCCCTGCCCCTCTCCGGCAGAGCTGGCCCTCCTGCCACGAGCCCTCTGTCCCCAGGTGCGGTGGTACCCGGGCCACGTGCCCGGCTTCCTGAGCCAGACCCAGGGCTACCTGAGGAGCCCGCAGGCGCCCCTGCGCCGGGCCGCGGCCGTGCTCCTGGGTGAGCACCGGGGCGCACGGTCCCTGCGGCGGAGGGGAGGGCGGCGGGCGCGGGCAGTCACGGTTTGCCTTCCCCAGGCCTCCTGGTCCACCACAGCAGCCCCCGCCGCTTCAGCCAGGACCTGCTGGACTCGCTGTTCCGGGGTGGGTCCCCGCGCAGGGTGTGCGCCCGGAGCGGCGGAGGTGCTGGGCGGAGGGGGGTGCCGGCGCCAGGGTCCTGGGCGCGTGTGGCCCGGAGAGCCCCCGCCCCGCCTGAACCCCTGTCCCCCCTCCCGCCCCCGCAGACCTGGGGCAGCTGCAGAGCGACCCCGAGCCGGCCGTGCTCGCCGCGGCGCAAGTGTCCTGCCAGCAGGTGGCGCTGCTGGCCCGCGCGCAGGGCCGAGGGCAGGGCCCGCGCTTCCCCCGCCTCCGCCTCCGCCGGCGCCGCGCCCGCCCCGCCCGGCCCCCGCCCGTCTACCCCGACAGCCCCTTCCAGCGCCAAAGCCGCGCGGGCCGCTGGGGCTGCTCCCCACCCGGCTGAGCCGGCCCCAGGCCCGGCGTCCTCCGCAGCGTCTGGGCATCTCTGTGGGCAGCCTGGGCCTGGGCCTGGACGCGGGTGTCACCCCCACCCCAAACCCACCCCAGTCCCTGCAAGCCCTGCTGCACCGGACTCCTCCGAGGAGCTCCCCGCCTTTACCCCTCCCCATGGCCACGTTCCTGAGAGGCAATCAGCGCCATTCAGCTGGGGGCCCACCTGTCCCTCGGGGCCTGGTGCTCTCCCCGCCCCGGCCGGACCACACCTGCCGCCGCACCGGGCTCTGGTGGAGCCGAAGCAGCCCCAGGAGCTGCTGCCCGCGGGGCTGCCTCTTCCTGGGCCTCCCCGGGCCTCCACTCCCTCCTGAGGGCCCAGCTGGCCACCCAGTTCCCGCTCCAGGTCACAGCGTCTGACCCCACCGAGCCTCCTCCAGAGGACGCCACGGACATCCCAGGCAGGGTGCTACCCCGTGGGTTCCCGTGGGGCGCTGGCCTCTGCACCCGGACCAGACTGAGCCCGCTGGCTGGCACCCAGCGCCCTGCAAGGGCTGAAGGAGGGAAGCAGGGCGGGCGGATGGGCAGGGAGGACGCTGCTCTGGCTCTGGGCGGGACAGGCCCCTCCACCCAGATTGCCCCCCAGAAGCCCCTGCCTCAGCGGGCCTGCGACTCACACAGCCTGGCGTCCGGAAGGCCTGGGGTCCGGCCCACCCCGAAGGAAGGTGTCTGAAGTAAACACGCGTCATCAAAGGGGTCCCGTCCTGTCCCCTCTGTCTAAGGCCGGGGTCTGGGCCCGGCGGAGATGGGGCTCAGGGGAGGGGGGGTATAAGGCCACGTGTGGGCAGGAGGACGGGTGGGGGCTTGGGGGGCTTTCCCCCAGGCCTCAGGCAGAGTCCCAGGCCCAGATTCCGTGTCTGCAGTGCTCACCCACCGCCCCCCTCGCCCACCGCCCCCCTCGCCCACCGCCCCCCTCGCCCACCGCCCCCCTCGCCCACCGCCCCCCTCGCCCACCGCCCCCCTCGCCCTCCGCCCCCCTCGCCCTCCGCCCCCCTCGCCCACCGCCCCCCTCGCCCACCGCCCCCCTCGCCCACCGCCCCCCTCGCCCACCGCCCCCCTCGCCCTCCGCCCCCCTCGCCCTCCGCCCCCCTCGCCCACTGCTCGGAGGCTGGGCTCGGCCCCGCCTGGCTTTTGCCTTTCAGGCCGCCCACGCGGGTTCCCGGGGGCCCTGGTCCTGGGGGGACAAACGGTCTGGAGAGGCCTCGAGCCTCTTCTCGGTGTGGGTCCATTCCTAGGGCTCCTGTCCCGGGCCTGGCCTGTGGGGGGCGCTGTCTTCTGTTCTCATGTTGGTGCCCCTGTTGGGTTGGACCCCGGGGTTGTGTGGGGTTCCTGTCCCAGCGGAACCCAGGGCCCCCGCGGGGGGATCCTGAAGCCTCAGCCTCGGAGTGCAGGCCGGCGAGGGGAGGAGGGTGCGCCCCGCAGAGGGCAAACCCCCGGCCGACCAGCTGCCGTCTGTCCTCACGGCCACTCCTCCACCCACTGGCCCAGCATCTGGGCCCTGTGACCTCAGCAGGTGTCCCTGAGCGAGGCGGGCGGCTCTGGCTCCGATCCCTGCCTCCTCAGGCAGCCCCAGGAGTGTAGGGTCTGTGCACTGCTCACCACGCACGCACCCCAGCCCCCTTTGGGGCCCCTCAGGCTGAGGATGGGCCCCCTGCCCGCAGTGGTGTGTCCTCAGGTCCCTGAGGCAGGGGGAGAACTGCCCCCCACCCCACCCCCACCTTCTCGGCCCGCATGCTGGGGAGGGGCCAGGGCAGCACAGGCAGAGTGAGTGAGGCCTGGGAGACGCCTGCTCTGGCCCCACATCCCTCCCTCTCCTGTGTGAGCAGGTCCCCACCCCTGCCCTCTCTGGGGTCTGAGCCCCTCAGAAACTCGAGGACCATCTTCCCTTTGTGAGTCACATTTATTGACTCTCCCCAGCCCCCAGCCCCCAGCCCCGTGGGGAGGGGCCTCGGGGGCGGGGCTCGCACTGCCCAGAGCTGCCGGGGGAGGCCGGTGGCTAGCAGAGCTGGCTCAGCGTCAGCAGCAGGGCCAGGCAGGCGTAGAGCGCGCACGCCGGGCCCTGGGCCTCGGGCCGCCAGCTCGCCTGGGGGGTGTCCGCCCGCAGCTCTAGGCCGCACTCCTCCAGCAGCGCCCAGGTGGGCACCTCCGCGCCCCAGCTGCTGCCCACGAGCTCCGGGGGCAGGGCCAGGGCCATGGGCTCCTGCCACGGGGTGGTCTGCTTCAAAAGGCTCTCCACCTGCCGGGACAGGGTGGGAGGGGTCCCTGGAGGCCCAGGCATCACCCCTCCCATAGGGACCCAGCCCCCCAGCCCAGCTTCCCCCCCCCCCCCCCCCCGGCACCTGGGCCCCTCACCAGCTGGAAGGGCTCTGACAGGGCCTCGGTCTCCAGCGCCTCGGCCAGCAGCAGGTGCTGGGGTTCGCTCAGCACTGCGGAGAGACCGGGGTGAGGGGCGCCGGGAGGCCGGCTGGGCAGCCCGCACCCCTGCCAGCGGCCCCCGCGGGCCCTCACCGGCCAGGGCTCCCAGCAGGTAGGCGACGGGCCTGGCCAGGTCCTCCACCAGCTCCCCGGAGCGCAGCACCAGGCACTCGAGGACGTTGCCGAAGGGACCCTGCAGGGTGTCCACCTGCCCGCAGCTCAGGCCCTGCTCCACCTGCGGGCACAGGGGGCGGGTGAGCCTGCCGGCCAGGGCAGCCCCCGCCCCAGCCCCCACCCCAGGGGCTGCTCACCGCCTCCTCCAGGGCTTCCAGGGCCTGCTCGTCCCGCAGCACCCGACTCAGGGCGCCCAGCAGCTGCCGGCACAGCGGCTTGGCCATGCTCTCCAGGTCCCGGGCCCAGGCCCGCACCTCCGCCTGCAGGCCTGGGAAGTCCTCCGAGGGCGCCTGCCGGTCCTCCTCCAGCCCATCTGTGGGGACAGGGCCGGACTGCCTGGGCGCCCCGGATGGGGGGACCCCGGGAGGAAGAAGGGGAGCCCACCAGGTGCGCCCGGCTGGTCAGGGAGGTACTGACCTGATAAGAGCTTGAGGCGCTTAGCGATGGACCTGAAGGAGAAGCCGGGGGACGGCTCCTGGGGCTGGCTGCCTGCTCGGCCGGGGAGAGCTGGTCAGCACAGGGAGCGGCCGGAGCCCACCCCACCCCTCTCCCCCACACTGGAGCCAGGGCAGGGGGACGTGTGTGTGTGTGTGTGTGTGTACATGCCCCCTCAGCAAGTATGTGTGTGTGAGAGTGTGTGTGTGTGAGTGTGTACATGCCCCCTCAGCGTGTATGTGTGTGTGAGAGAGTGTGTGTGTGAGTGTGTGTGAGTGTGTGTGTGTGTGTGTGTACATGCCCCCTCAGCGTGTATGTGTGTGTGTGAGAGTGTGTGTGTGTGTGTGAGTGTGTGTGTGTGAGTGTGTACATGCCCCCTCAGCGTGTATGTGTGTGTGAGTGTGTGTGTGTGTGTGTACATGCCCCCTCAGCAAGTATGTGTGTGTGAGAGTGTGTGTGTGTGTGTGTGTGTGAGTGTGTGTGTGTGTGTACATGCCCCCTCAGCGTGTATGTGTGTGTGTGAGAGTGTGTGTGTGTGTACATGCCCCTCAGTGTGTATGTGTGTGTGTGTGTGTGAGTGTATGTGTGTGTGAGTGTGTGTGTGTACATGCCCCCTCAGCAGGCTCTGGCTGCCCCATCCTGGGCAGGAGGTGCCTCAGCAGCCGGGAGCCTGTCCCATGCCCAGGCCGGGCTGGGGGTCTCTGGGGGTCCCCAGGCCTCACCTTTTTGGGGCGGCTGGAAGGTCCTCCTCTTCTTGTCAGGCTGGAAGAGGATGTCTGGCGGCCGGGAGGGAGCAGGGGGGGGGGCAGGTTGGCCGAGGCTCTGGCCTTCCCTTCACCCCCTGGGGCTCCCCTCACAGTCCCTCAGTGCGCCCCAACCTCCCACACACCCGCCCAGAGACCCGCCGCCCGCGTGGCTCTTCCCGGGCCTCCCTGCGTCTTCGCCTCCGCGTCTGGGCCCAGCTCACCCCATTTCGACCCGTCGATAACCAGCTGGGCCACCTGGAAGGCGAGGATGCTGCCCTTGGGGATGGTGACGGTCCTCTTCCGGCTCAGGTGGCCCTGGCCCTGGCCCTGGGGGCAGAGCTGGGCTGAGAGGCCGGGGGAGGGGGGCGGCCGGATGCACCTGGACCAGGGCCCTGCCCCCCCCCCCCCCCGCCTCCCCCGGCCCCGGCAGGGGCCGCGCCCACACCTGGAAGCACGTGGCTCCGGGCACCGCAAACCTGCCGGAGCCCTCCTGCCTGCGGGTCCGAGTGACCTCCACCTCCTTCTGCGTCTGCAGCACCTCCGTCACCACGAACACGTCCTCCCCGCGGCTGCGCAGCTGCTGCAGGACCTTGTGCTCCGGCTGCCGAAGGCGCCTGCGCCGAGGGGTGGGCGGGAGGTTAGGGTGCACCCGCTCTGCACCCACCGGGACCCGCCTGCCTCCCCGCCCCCAGCCTCCTGTCTCCCTGCAGGATGCCAGGTCCCGGTGGCTGAACTCCCTCCCCGGGTGCTCCCACCAGAGCGGGGGGGGGGGGGTGTGTGTGTGAAGGTGCCGGGAGGAGGGACGGGGACACCCCTCCCCGGGCAGCTCATGGGCTGCTCTCTCCCCCACCCCCTGAGTCTCCGCTTTGAGGTACAGCCTCCCCGTGTCCCCGTGTGGCCCCGTATCCGCTCCCCCCAGCAGCCCTGCCTCCTCTCAGTGGCCTGGGACCTCTGCCGTCCCAGCAGCCCCTGCCTGCTCCCCCCCCCCCCCCCGTGACCCCAGGCTACGTGGGCTCCCCAGGGCCTGCCCCAGGTCTGGGGCTCACCTCTCCTGGAGCATGTCTGCCCAGACGTTGGGGTTCACTTGCAGCCCGCACACGTCCATGGAGGCACTGGAGCTGCCGGACATGGCGGCCCCGCCCGAGAACCCGCCCTGCCCCGGGCCCGCCGTCAGCTCCACCTGGCCCTGCAGCTGCCCGTCCACCGCGTCTTGGAATTGGAAGCAGCCAATGCGCTGGGTGTCTGGGAGGAGACCAAGCTGAGGCCCTCTGCCGGCCTGCCACCCGCCCGGGACCTTTCTAAAGGAGCCGCCTTCTGGGGACGCAGAGCCGAGGCCCAGGCGGGCGGGGGGGGGGGTATCTGCCATGGGTATCTGGCTCGGGGTCACGGCATGCGGAGGGGGGAGGTCTGCCATGGGTACCTGGCTCGGGGTCACTGGGCTCCAGGATGTCCCTGAGGGACAGGTTGATGCCCCTGTAGTGGGACCTCCAGAACCAGGAGCTGGGCGGCCTCCGGCCCAGCAGGCAGTAGGGCTGGAAGCTGGTGGAGCTCCGCAGGCTGTCCACGGGGACCAGCTCCCGGCCCTGGTCCAGCTCCTGCACCACGCTCTTCACCACCTGCTCGAAGGCGGACGCCATGCTCCCGGGGGCGGAGGCCCGCGGCTCGGGGCTGGGCGAGGGGAGAGTGGGCAGTGGGCGCTCGGATGCCTCCGAGGAGCCGGGGCCGCCCGCACGGTCAGTCCTGGGCGCGCTGACGGGCAGGACCCGGCCCCGGCCCCTCCATCCCTCGGAGGAGCCGGGGGCTTCCAGGACCATTTCCCACATCCCTCAGCGGGACGCCCAGGAAAGCCCTGGACGGGCAGTGAGGGGCGGGCAGCTTCGGGCCACACCGCCGGCCGCCCAGAGTGGCTTCGGGCCACCCCGGAGGGCGGGCGGGGCAATGCTCTGTCTACTGTAGCCACGGTCTCCCTGGCTGGGGTGTCCAAAGGGTGGGGGGTGGGAAGGGGAGAGGGAGAAACAGTCTCTGCCGCGGAGATGCGGCTCAGGGGCCAGCAATCCGGCTCCTCTGTGTCCAGAGCCTCACAAGCCCCTGGTGGAAGGCTGCGGCTTCAGGGCTCAGAGACCACGGCAGACCTGGGCCAGGCAAGGGCCCTCCAGGACCCCCACCCCCGCGCTCTGGCTGGTGAGGGGCCACTCCCAGGGCCCTGGGCTTCCCCAGGTGGGCCTGGGATTGGGGGGATTCCTCGGAGGGGGCTGGGGCCAGGCATCCCCGACCCAGTGAGAGCAAGCAGGGCCCGAGGGTGCCAGGGGGCGCAGCTCACCGTGACCTTGACCTTGGCGCCTAGGTTCCGGGCGCAGGAAGCCTAGGGTGGCGCGGGGGCCGGGGTGGCGCGGGCCGCGCTCTGGGGCCTCCAAAGCGGAGCGCTCCGCGGGCCGCGGCGGCCGCGGGGCTCAGGACCCAAAAGTGAAACTTGTAGCCGCGCTGGGACCGCCCAGCGCGGCCGGAAATGACCGGCCTCGCCCCGCGCCCGCCGGCTGAGCTTCCCGGCGCGGCCTTTCCAAACCCCGGGCGCGCCGTGGAGGCGTGGACACCTCTCCCGTGCTGTGCGCCGCCAACGGCACATCAGACCGGGGAGGGCGCGCACGGCGGCGCCGGGGTGGGGGTCCGGGCTGGGGAGGGAGCAGGAACCGGGCGGGACGTGCCTCTGGCGGTGGTTCCCCAGCAAGTGAGACGGTGCCCCCGCCCACCAGTTCCTCCTCGGGGTGTGTAGCCGGGAGATGAACCCGTCACCTCGGCCTGCACCCAAGGGTGGATAGCAGCCGCCTGCCCGCCAGCCAGCGCACCCGGAAAGGAGCGAAGTTCTGGTGCCTGGATAGCACCGAGAACTCAAAACACCACCCTCACCCCGGCCGGTGTGGCTCAGTGGGCAGAGTGTTGGCCTTCGGTTTGAAGGGGTCCTGGGTTCGATTCCGGTCAAGGGCACATGCCTGGGTTGCGGGCACCATCCCCAGGGTGGGGCATACAGGAGGCAGCCAATCCATGATCCTCTCTGAACATTGATGTTTCTATCTCCCTCTCCCCCTTCCTTCCTCTCTGAAATCAATAAAAATGTATTAAAAAAAACAAAACAAAAACAAAAACAAAAAAAACCCACACCACGATCCTCAGTGAGAGAAGCCAGCTCAGAAGCCAGCAGGAGAAGCCACACACACAGCAAGTACTGGGGGTTTCCGGCCGGGGAGGGGGAGGGGTGACAGCTGTCGGGGCGCGGCTTCTTCGGAGCGATGCAATGTTCCAGCCTGTGGTGAGGGTTGCACAACCCTGAGGATGCTAGCACCCACGGAGTCCGACACTCCCAAGGCGTGAGCGGCGGGGCGCCGAGTTCCCTCCTGAGGAGGCTGCTCTGAGAGGAAGCAGCCGGTGGCACGCTCCAGGCCCCACAGCCTCCTCCCACCCTGGCGGTGGTTCCCCAGCAAGTGAGACCGCGCCCCCGCCCACCAGTTCCTCCCTGGGTGCGAATCCTGTCTGGTGCAAGGCAGCACCCGCACCCCTCCGCCTGCTCCACCCCTCGCCTCTGGCCCCTAAGCCAGGAGGACACTGGGGAGCCCGCAGGAGGCTGCTGCCCGACACTGCTCCGCCCTGTGCTAGGTGCCCCCCCCCCCCCCCAGGGTGGTCGCTGTGAGCCAGAAGGTGCCGTCCTGCCCTGGCCTGTTGCAGTGACTGGAAAGGCTGATTCAAAGGCAACGCTGTCGCCTGGCTGGCGTGGCTCAGTGGTTAAGCTTCAACCTAGGAACCAGGAGGTCACGGGTTCAGTTCCCTGACAGGGCACATGCCCGGGTTGCAGGCTCCATCTCCAGTGGGGGGGCTTGTGGGAGGCAGCTGATCGATGGATGTTTTTCTATCATCATTGATGGTTCTCTCTCTCTCTCTCTCTCTGCCTCTCCCTTCCTCTCTGAAATCAATAAAAACGTATTACCTGCCCCCTCCCCCCAATGTGACATTGTCTTGTGCAAGCAGAAGTCTGAAACTGCTGGGTACCCTGGGCAGGACAGGGCAGGCGAGGCCCTGGGGGTGGGCGGGCAGGCGGCTGGCCTGCTCCGACACCTGCCTGTGGTTTCTCCTCGTGCTGGGGGCCCAGGGGAGCAGGCCTGGGGCTGAGCACCGCCAGCTGAGGGCCTCTGGGGCTGTGGGTGCCCCTGCAGCCTGGTGAGGGGCTCCCAGCTCTGGTCCAGCCCCTGGAGCCCCTGGCGGGTGTGAGGGGACATCCTTGTGGTGGTGACAGAGACTCCAAGAGCCTGAGGAGAGCTGAGTGTGAGTCCACAAGTGTATACAAGTGTGCATGCTGCATGCACACATGTGCATTCATAGGTGTGTTGCATGTGCATGTTTGCATGTGTGTGTACATGTTGGGGGCTGCATGCTGGATCCACCGGAGGGTCTGTCTCCTCCAGCCACACCTGCTTCTCCCTGTTTCCCGGGCACGGCTCTGGGTGGCCTGGCCTGGCTTCCAGCAGGGCTGGGACCAGCCGGTGGTTTTTCTGCCCGGCCTCGGCTGTGGGAGAATTGGGTGGAGCAGAACAGCATGCCAGGCAAGTGCCATCCATGTGGCAACTGGGGACAGCATGGCACACGGTGCCCACCTGCCTTAGGCGGTGACCCCGGCTGCCATTTATGGTGACAACCCAAACAAGAAGCACCGTGTTGGCCGGGGCCGTGCTGCCTCCCCCCTCACAGGGGACAGCCGTAAGGGGGCCGCTGGAGAGGAAAGGAAGGAGGGCGGCTGGGGTGCGCTGCCATCCCTCCCAGGCACGCATGAGGCAGCCAGAAGCCCTGGGGCACCCCGTGTGGTGTGGAGGTGGTGGGTCGCCCAGGGCGAGGTCCGGCCATCTGGGTGGGGTGCGGAGCTGAGGAGAGACACTGTGTCCCGGGGGCTGGGAGGCTGGGAGGGGAGCCGGCTCTAAGGGAGAAGCCACTGCCGCCAGCCCCTCTCACCGGCCCCGTAGGGCGCTGGTGACCGGCCAGGCGCGCTGGGAATGGGGCCGGGCGGGCAGGGACCTGGGAGGGCGGGCAGGGAGGCAGGGCGTTCAGATCGGCGATAACCCGGTGCGCTGGGGGGAGCGCGGGCCGCGCCGCGGGGAGGAGGGACAGCGCTCCGGAGGGGGGCCGCCCCCGAGCCCGGCCGGGACGGGGCGCGGAGGCCGCAGGCTGAGGCCTGGCGGCGGGCAGCCGGCGCCCGGAACCCCGTAAGCTTCGAAGGAGCGCCCGGCGGGCCCGCTCCGGATCCGGACTCGGAGGCTCGCGGGCCCGGAGGTCCTGTTCCGCGGGGCCCCGGGGCGGGCGGAGCTGCGGGCCGCGGATTCCAGAGCGGCCTCTCCCCGGGGAGCCCCCCGTCCCCCGCCGCCGGCGCCGGGGTCTCCGGGCCCCGCACGCAGAGTGCCCGCCCGGCTCCGGCTTCCCGGCCGGCGGTGGGCGCGCGGAACCAGCCCGCCCGCTGGGCCCGGGCAGGGGCTCCCTCGTCCCGCCTCAGGGCCGGGGCCCCGGCTCCGCCCCGCGGAGAAGGCGCTGCGGGCACCCGGAGGAGGGAAGGCGGAGGGTCCGGTGCGACTCCCGCCACCCTCCGTCCTGGTCCTCAGAGGCCGTGGGAATGCCCTGCTGACGGAACCGCTGGCTAATAACATTTCCTATAAAAACACATTTTTATAAATTTCAGAACGGATGGGAAAGGCAGGCAGAAACATCAGGGACCGGAGAATCGCGGACTGGCTGCTCCTGCACGCCCCCGGGGGGCCAGCCGGCCGCCCGGCACGTGAACCCTGACCTCCGGTTCACAGGTCGGCGCTCCGAGCCCCGCCCGCGTCTTCCCGGAGGAGCTCGGGCGGCGAGGGTGGGTGCGGGAGGAGATGCTGGGGGGAAGGACCTGCGGGGGCCTCGAGGGCAGTTCTCTCCCAACCGCCCCCGGCCCCCGCTCCGAGCGGGACGCGGGCGAGGGGCACCGGTGAGGAGCGGTCCCCGCCTGCCCACCCTGCCCCTGCGAGCCCGGGCGCGGGCTGGGCTGGTGAAGGCGGAAGTGCAGACATGGGGGCAGGCGGAGGCCCGGAAGGGCTGCGCTGCGGCTCGTCCCGGGCCCGCGGCGAACGAGAGCCCCTTCTCCGGTAACCCCGCGGCCCCTCCGCCCCGGCCCGCAGGGCCGGCTCCCTGGCCTCTGCTCTGCGCATGCGTGGCCTGCGGGCGTTGCCAGGGCGACGGCGCGTCCCTGGCGACCCGGAGGCGGCCGGGCCTGGCTGCAGTGCGCAGCCTCCGAGCCTCTCGCGCCCCGCCCGCCCCGCCCGCCCCGCCCACAGGGAAACGGTCGCGCGGCGATGACGTCGCGGGGGCCTGGCAGGGCGTCGCGGACTCGGGAGATGGAGGAAAAGGAGCTGTTACGGCAGCAGATCCGCCTCCTGCAGGGTGAGCCGGGCCGGGCTGGGGTGGCGCGCCCCTCTCTTCCCCTCACCTCAGCGGGGATGGTCTCCGCCCGCCCGCGGTCTCACGGCCGGGCCGGGCCGGGCCGGGCCGGGCGAGGGGCGGGGACCCGAGGGGCTCCGGGCCTGCGGGGTCAGCCCCTGCCCGGGCTTCGTCAGGCGGACAACGCGAGCCTCTCGGGCGCTGCGGCGGGGGCGGCGGGGCGGTCGCCTAGTAACCGGCGGGAGGCGGCCCCCCATCCCCGCGGGTGGGCGCGTCCCGGCGCCGACAGTGGGCGGAGGTGCCGGTGGCAAAGTCGCTCCCGCGAGGGCGGGGCCCGGTTTCCACGCGCCTTCCCTCCGGACATCACTCACTCCAGACCCGGCCGGCCCTGGCCTCGGTCTCCAAACTTTTCAGATTTCAGACCCAGGTCGGGCTTTTTATCCCTAACCCCGTCTCCCCGCCCTCAGGCTGTTTCCACAAAGAAGACTGAAGGACGCGGGAAGTGTGTATGGGGGAGTCTGGGTGTGCTGGCCTTTGTGGGTCGCCTCTTGGGCTTCCGTCATGCCTGCCCCAGGCGTCACGGGTCTGGGAGGGAGAGGGTGGTGCCTGGGGCCCGGGAGCCGGCTGCTAGCTGGGCTGTCAGCCCCCAGCCCCGGGCTGCCTCCTGCACCGGACAGTTGACCAGGGGCCTCCTTGGAAGGGCCGTGTGGTGGTCAGCCCACTGCCCTGGGTTCTCCCCGCTGGCCAGGCCTCGCGTCCCTTGGGGAGGACGCTGTGACATTCCTGTCGGGTGTTGAGTGCCCAGCGCTGTCTGTCATCTTACGCCCATTGCCCTGTGTAGCCAGCCTGGAGCTTGTTAAGGGTCTTGCCCCAAACCCCTCTCCACCAGCGGGCAGCCAGGGGGCCTCTGTGGCTGGCCGGCCCTTTCTTGCCGAGGCACTGCAGTATAGGCCTTGCTGGTCTTTTCATACTGAGTGACGTTGCTCTTTTTTTTTTTTTTTTTTTTGAAAAAATATTTTTATTGATTTCAGAGAGGAAGGGAGAGGGAGAGAGAGATTGAGACATCAGTGATGAGAGAGAATCATTGATCGGCTGCCTC